ATATATAAATTCGTAATTGCAGGCTTATGTAATGGGATTTAGAAGTGAAAGCAGCAGCTGCTACTTCAGATGTAGGAGGCGGGGTGCGGTGTGGGTGGGGTGTGGGTGGTGGGTTTTTAGCCAGAAACAAATCAATAAGTTCAACTTGGACTGAATGTGTAAAAGTGTTGAGAACTGACTTTGCGACTTGCACTTGCAGTCAAAATTCAAGGCATTTTAATTGCATTTTAATAAGAAACGGCAGCGACAGACACACACACGCACACACACACTGTACGCAATGACGCACGCGTCGCTGAAGGCACACTGGCCCATAAAAGTATGCAACACAAATCGCAAAAACGCCGCACCGTTGCAAGCTTCGATGTTAGCGACTACGATTGGCATTATAGGGAATGCGGCAGCCACAGCGAGGCACGAGAGCGGCAATTACGTCAGCATTGGCAGAAAGAGAGGACGAGGGGACGAGAGGACAACTTGTCTGTAGCCTACGCACTGTCAAACGACAGCCACGTCCTGACCGAGGACATTTTGTCAGCCATTCTGTGGACTGTGACGCCACTTGACAGCGGCGAAAGTGATGCCCAGAAACGGGGAGAGAGAGCTGTGAACTCAGATGGAAATTATACATACATGGAGCATATCTGTGCAGCAACTAACAATAGAGAATGGCATGCCGTACTCTGGATACCCTACTTGCGACACGGCCTACTTGTGCAGATGTGCCAGAAGAATTGTGAGACTCTTAATTGCTAAGTTTATTTAAGATATCATGACATACACCAAATTATAAATTAAACAGCTAAAATAAATCTTTATTATAGAAAAATCGAATGCCTACCTATAAAGCGAAATCCCCGTGGGATTTCTATATATAACATCATTTTTGTGCGGTTTTGACAATAATTTAAAGATCATTCCAAACGCATTGCTCATTCAAGTTTGAGTTTTAGTTTGCGGCAAGTTCTTGAGGTCTGCCTGCCTGTCATGGGGGGCTTTGATGTGGATCGGGCGTCACGCGTTGCTCTTATTAAAAATGTATTTAAACGCTTAGCTTCCAGTCGCCAAATGGCACCCCTGGGCCACTCAGACCAAGTGTCTGTCCACTCTACAAATCGGCCAACCTCATGAGGGACACATGCAGCGTTTTCCAAGCGCCTAGCTTTCCAGGTCATGTTGGTGTGAGTACATCACACGCACACACACACACACACACATGCATCTGTTTGGCAGCCTGGCCTGGCTTGTCTGCAAATTCATTGTCTGCTCCACTCAAATCTCAAAAAGCTGCAAGCTGTTTACCGGTCTATGTTTTTTCTAGCCACATTACGTTGCAAGTCCAAAATGAAGCTAAAAGAAAATTTTAAAAAATTCATTACAGAAATCTTGTAGATAATGCCAGTAAAAGGGGTATTATATAAGAACAAATGCAAACCAAGAGAAGAAAAGTACTCTATTACCTTAGGCATTAGGGGAACGGCGGAAAGGGAACATGAATATTAATGTTGTCCCCTCAATAATGTGGTTTCCAAATTATTATTTTCCGATCTATAATAATAGGAACGGACGCAAGCCAAGAGAAATTCGTTGTTTTTTTAAAAATTACACTTTTTTTAGGCATAAGAGGAACAGCGGAATGGGAACACGAATCTAAACGTTGTTCTCTCAGTAATTAAATTATCTTACATACATAGAGGTTCTAGTCGGGAGCTCCCGACTCAGACAGGCACTAGGAGCACCTACATATAAAATTTTAAGTCTCTAGCTCTTATAGGTTCTGAGATTCTTGCGTTCATACATACGGACGGACGGACGGACAGACAGACGGACATGGCTAGATCGACTCGGCTATCGATGCTGATCAAGAAAATATATACTTTATGGGGTCGGAGATGCTTCCTTCTGTGTGTTACATACATTTGCATTTTGCACAAATGCAATATACCCTTATACCCATTTTTAATGGGTTCAGGGTATAAAAAATAAACGCATCATAAGAACGAATACAAGCCAAAAGAAAATCGGTCTGGGAACACGAGCATAAATATTGTTCTCTTAATAATGAGGCTTCAAACATATTTTTATAAAAGGGATATTATATAAGCATAAACACAATCCGAATAAAAATTGTTATTTATCCTCTATGCTCTTAGATATGAGGGGAACAGCGGAATAGGAACACGCATAAAAAAAATATATAGCAATAATAAGTAGGGTATACATTTTTGGGAAAACTCTTTGTGGAAATACAAGTGATAGTACATATAATTATGAGAATGAAAGCTAAAGAAAATGTGTCTCTTTCTTCTCACACAACCTTTGTTTTGGGTCTGCGTGAAACGACGGAATTAATATAAAAATATGAAGGTAATTCCGCAATGATGTGGCTTGTAATTTATATATTTTAATAAGAATACCCTATCATGTGTTTATTATGAAAATGTTAGGGTATTGCCAAGTCATGTAATGCAAGTGTCTCTTGTTGGTATTTGTATGTTGGGCCTGATTTGCTGTAATGACTAAATTAATGCCCACAAATAGTACTTAGAACAAGACCTGTCAAATCTATGATATTTGTTTTGATTGAAATGGCAAACTGCATTTGAATTTGTCAATTTGCCAAATGTGAAATTTCAACGATTTGCAATTCATTTGTCAATTGTTGAGCAATTGCCCACAAACTTTGTTGCCGAGCCATCCGCGTCGCATCCTGCCCAACCTAAGGCTGTCGTCGGATTGTTTGCCAAATTGGACTCTCTCTCTCTTTCCCCCTCTCTCTCTCTCTCTCTCTCTCTCTCTCTTGTGCACAATTTACACTTAATTAAAGCGAGAGGCGACGTTATTCTGGCAATGAACTAAAGAACTCATCTCGACGCACAGCTGCTAATTTAATTTGAAAACACTTTTGCCCGTTAAGCATCTATTAGTAGGACCCCGACCCGGACCCGGACTCCTACCCCGACCCGGACTCGGACTCAGCCTAGCAGCTCCTGCACTGTTATGTAATTCCTATCACACCTGAGCGCCAGCCGAGCAAGACGTCAGCCTAATGAGCCTCACACATTACCTGCAGTATTTGACTTAGTTATAGCTCATTATTCCAGGGCCCACACACTGGCCCCGCCCACCTTGTCGACTGGCCTCCGCCTTTCTTGTGCGAACAACTTTTTGTTTTTCAAAATATCTTAGCCAAACTTGGCATTTATTTATTAAGTACTACAGTGCTCTATATATACATATATATGCAAAATCTCAATATCGGATAGCTATATCATATAGCTGTCATAGGAACAATGCTTATCAAAATATCTTACCCAAACTTAGCAATACCAATTACCCAATATGGCAACATTTTATCAAGTTCGGATCACTGTCATATTAGCGATTGATCGAAAAGTAGGTTCTTGTAATTTTGTAATCCAAAATATTTTCATCAAACTCAGCATTTACGAGCTTCAATATTCTCACATATCAGCAGAACCGTAAGGCAAATGGAAGCGTATTAAATCTTCGACGTGCCGAAGTTATTCTTACTTTCTCTTTAATCTTTGAGCTGTTAAGCCAGTGCTTATCGCTTATCAGTTACTTAAAACTAAGTACTAAGCTAAGAGAGGTTTCAATTAATTCACATATTTCATTCAATTGTCGTGCGTGTTGATAGTCGGTTTCACATTCGCAGTTTAAACAAAATGAAATCTGTTTTGTTTCCGTATGTGCTATACTTAAGCCTAATAATGCTCATCCTAGCTGAAACACAGACTAACGAAAATGAGGTATTATTTAATTGAAGTTGAGGTGAAGTGCGGTAAATAATCATAAACTAGAATAGCAGAGGAACAATGTGGAGAGCACACCTATAGGGCTGTGAGACCTTTGTTAAAGTATATTCATCAGATAAAGGATGAAATTGAAAACAATAACAATAAAATTGAAGGCAAAGACAAAGAAATCAAAAGCTAGCCACACGTAATGAAAGTCTTATCGCGGAACAGAAAGCTCAGATTGATTTCTACAAACAGAGTATCAAAGAGCAAACGCACAACATTTTGTCAATAAAAGAGGAAATGAGTAAGCCCAATTCCAATTACTTAAGAATCCAGGACCATGAAGAGCAGCTGGAGAAAGAAAAGAAGTCAATTGATCAACAGATCCAACAAATATCCGAACTCAATGAAGAAATCAACATTTGTGCCAAGAAATTGAAAAGCTGCGCAGAGAAGTCCGTTTACGGTGATTGCACCGACATTGCTGATGCTCCGGGTATTCACAAGATTAAACCGGATAGAAAAGATTCGTTCGATGTACTATGTGATAGTGCGACGGCAGGTCCTGGCTGGACGGCTATCCAGCAGCGAATCAATGGCAAGGAGGATTTCTACAGGAATTGGATCACACACCGCAGAGGCTTCGGTGGCTTCGAAGAGACTTTTTCTTAGGACTTAAAAAGATTCATCGCTTGGCGCGCGCCCAGCCTCATGAGCTCTACATACATATGGAAGTATTTGATGGAGACATCAAATACAGAAGACACGATCAATTTGACATTTCTGGCGAGAAGGACCAATACACATTGATCACTTTGGGTAATTCTGAAGGCAGTACAACATATAATAGCTTGAAACTTCAAAAAAATAAGAAATTCACCACATTCGATCGTGACAGTGACAGGTATCCTGGCAACTGCGCAAGCCGAGACGAACGTGGTGGTGGCTGGTGGTACGCTAATTGTGGAACCAGGTATTGATCGCCACAGGTACAATTAATTTTGATATTGTGTTTTTGTTTTAGCAACTTAAATGGAAAATACTATGATCATAAGGTGGAAAAACTTGATGGCATACATTGGACAAGGCACACCTCCTTGAAGACAGTCAAAATGCTTATACGATGGCAATGGGAAATAAAATAAAAAACAAATATGTATAACATTTATATTTTACAATAATACAGCTTAAATTGTTTTACAATTTATTTATAAATAAATGCAGATGCTGTAATCCCAAATAAAATCCAAAACAGAGGAGCAGGAAAATATTAAATTCGACGCATATCAAAAAAATTCAAATGAATTATCTTAGATTTCGATATTAAAATCCACTCAATTATTTACTTCTATATAAAGTTGGCTAGAGAAACCATAGTAAGAGTCTTTTCCAGGTTTTAGAGATTCAAGTTGATCAGTTGGACAGGTGGAAAAATAGGTGACACAAATGTAAAAGTTACACTAATAATTGGGTTCCATCTCCTAATCGGACATTCTCACTTGTAAAATATATTATTATATATATACATGCAGCTATATTAAGACGAAACTGATAAAATAATAATTTTCAAAAATTAGTGTTTTTTATATAATTTCACCTAGCTTCTTCTCGAGAAAAGCAGTATGTTTTAACCTACATATCCATTTAATGCGCGTGCAGGGTATAAGAACTTCTGTCAAAATGCAGAAAGAAAAATTTATGTCCAAACCGAGCTTTATGCCGAGCATTTAGCATTATGTTTCTGAGTGCGGCTTTGGTTTTTTATATTGGCAATTGAGAAAGCAACAATTTATGTTGAGATAAGATACCCTGCAAGCAGGTCTATAGCAAATAAAAGATAAATAAGTTAACAAATCTCTTGAGAAATACATTTGCATTTACCAGATATTTCTTTGCCAGGCATTACCTAATTGAAGAAAGTTTTTCTAAGTATCTGGGTAACATTCTCTTATTTAGTGTATGAACCAACGTCAACACACACACAAACACACACAGATAGCTGCACACATGTATTTGTTAGCATTGGTCCCATTGGAGGCGGGAGGAGTGCTTCGTATTCGCTTGACAGTTTGACATCTTCGGCGCCTAAAAGTAGATAAGAGGCAATGCTTTGAGTAAATGGCATAAAAAACTCACAAATCCAATTGGAAGCCTGTCGCACACACACACACACACACACACGTCGTTAGTTGTTATGGAAAATGTATCTCTCAGGCAAAGCCAAGTTACAAATTGTTGGCTTAGTATACAGCTCTTGAGTGTGCGTATGTGTGTGTGTGCGTGTGTGTAATAACACTATTTCTGGGTATTTGTAATTTTTGAACATGCACAAATTTCCATTTACATATCAAGTAGCTGCTTTGGGTTTCCAAGAAAAAAATTCGATTTACGCATTGAATTTAAATTATTCCCAAAACTTGTCGAAGGTTCCATTTGTTTTACAGCATGTCAACAGAAATTTCGTGTTTATTTATTTTTTTGGTTTTTTTAGTTATTTTTCTATGGTAAGCACAGTTAAAAACAAGTTAGGGTGCCCGACCAGGAGATATCCTAGGCCCAGACCCAAGCTGCATTTATAGCCCGATCTTTATTCGTTTTTCAAGACACACAAGTGATTATTTCACAGAGGGAACTATCAAAAAGTAGAATATGTTTTCTGTGCATAAAAGAACCTGCATACCATACCGATACGATTCGACATGCAGATGAGCTTCTTTTTCCCCGTGCTTTACTTCGGAGTTTATAGTCCGATCTTTATGTGATCCAAACGCAAGGTTCTATTGTTCAATCATGCGGTTCTTTCCAATTTGATAAAGTGAATTATTTTTAAAATGGAACGAAATTTTTGTAAGCCAGTGTAATCAATGAAATGAATCTCATCTGAAGCTGTCGCCACAAGTATTTAGTATATAAATCCTATTTATATAGCTGCCACTTTTTTTTTTGTAATAAACTGAGATTCTCTAGAATATACTGTGTGCCATTAAATGTAATTGAACATAATACTGGGATTTGTTTTAGTCACTTGATAGTTGACATTTGCGGTGATGAGCAAATGTATATAATGTTGATAATGACGTTCTTCTATATGTATATAAATTGTATTACTATCAGTAAGAAATGCATACTTACTATGAACTTTGTGTATATAAATTGGGAATTCGTATTATACAGAAATATAGTATCAATAGGTTTTCACGCTCTTTCTCCTGCTCACTCCTCTCTGCCGCTCCGAACTGAAATCCGATTCGAACAATCATGAAAATATCTCACACTTTTCACACATTTGCCACATCACTGAATACCGATCCACAGCTCGAACTCACATTGACCCCGCCCCGCCCCGCCCCGCCCCGGCCCGGCTCAGTTCGTTGGGAAATTTTGTTGTTGCTTTTCGTTGCAATTTCAGAATTTGTGATCGCAAAAACGAGTAAAACAGCGTATTCGAGGTGCCCAACTACCCGTTAGTGTCGGTCACAAACCGAAACTGCAACATACAGGATGCGACACTGGGATTCACTGGGAAAACACATTGCCTATATATATATATATTTATATATATATAACTCTTCGATTTCGGTCGATGCGTCTCGATGTGCAGCTGATAATGAAATGAATTTCAGATGCGATTACAGCCGCGATAAATACGCGCAAATCTGAGAGAAATCTGTCGCGCTTTAAGGCTTCTAATGCGAATGCAATATGATTTGGTTTGAAGCTACAAAATGTAACTCAATCGATGCTGCTTTAAATCTATCTCTCTCTTCTCAAGTCTCTTAATCTCTCTCTCACTCGCGCTCTCTCTCTCTCTCTCTCTCTCTCTCTCTCTCTCTCTCTCTCTCTCTTTCTCTGCTACTATTTGTCTCGGTCGCTGTGGTCTATTGGTTTTGGCGTTTAATCGCCGTCGTCAGCTCAATCTAATGCAATTGTAGCATTGCATCTGTATCTGTATTTGAGCCTCTAACTGTATCTGTATCTGTATCTGCGTCTCGTAACTGCATCTGTATCTGTATCTGTGTGTCTGTCTCTGTCCCTTGTGGCATTTCGTCATGTATGCATGAAACGCTCAGCATTCATTTAAATACTTCAACACATCTCACATGATTGCGGGCCTTTGTTATTGACTGATTTAACATATATTTATTTCTATTTGTGTTTTGTTTTTGCGGTTTTTAACTTTGAAGTCTCCCACTTGTGCAGGCCGCGTTGGCCACAATTGCGGCCGCTACCAATTGATGCCAATGGATACAATTACAGTTAAGAGGCAAACAAATCGCAAGAACTCCAGACAATAACACATGATTTGACCCAGAACTGAACATTAATACTTGAGAATGTCAGCATATTTTAAAATTACTTTAAGCTCACTTTTGTCATTCAAATGTTATATATTTAATACATTTATTTAATATAATTTTAATTGAAATATCTAATTAGTTATAATTTCAAATTCCATAAAATGGCTACTAAACTAGGCAAGAACTTGTTACCGTCCTTGAGGTTCGGAAGCTAGTTCTTATGGTTAGATATCATACGAAATGGTTAGATATGTTAAGATGGGCTTAAGTTGCGAATGCTTTGAGGTTGAGTTTTCCTAAAAGTTCATGCTTTAGAATTCAGCCGTATTTCTGGCCTTTTACAGCCTTGGCAAATAATGTTATATTTGTAATAAATAAGCATCTGTCCTTAATTGTCGAATAGCCGCATTTGAGTATTCATATTGTAATTTAAATCGTTTTTGCATACGTGCATCTTGTGGTTTTTTGGTCAGAAGCCAAACAAACGATGCACCTTTGCACATAGAGCCGACTACCTCGAATCCGTATCTGGTATCTGGTATCTGGCAAAGTGGGGCACAGTTTATGATAGACTCGTGTATACCACATGCCCCCAGTTGCTGTTAGTTCGAAATGTCGAGTGAAAAGCCGCTTAGTTGCTTTGGCGGGCTGCATTTTTTTGACTTCATCTTGGTCGGCAAATACTCCGCCGGCTCCGGCTCCGGCCATGCTATGGAAATTCTTGCATTCGTCGGCGCTCCTTCAAAGTTGCCTGCCCAACTCCCTTTATGTTTTATGCTTATCTCTGTTTACGCAGCAAACGGAGGCACGTGGCCAATTCCACGGCAGACTCGAATCTGCCGCCGCCCCCGCCGCCTCGCCACCGTGTTCCCATTAGCAAAGTCGCCTTTGTGCGACTCGCTCGCTTAAGCCGCTTTAGAACGGTAATTGTAGCCACCGCTTGTACACCCTACCCCGTAACCCGTAACCCGTAGCCCGTAAGCCGTAACCAGACAACCCTTTAATATGCTCATTTGCTTACGAAAAGCCAAAGAACTGGCAAAGTCGTGAGCTTAATCCCAAAACCTGAGCAAGTTGACTTCACATGTCGAGATCCCCTATTCTGTGCAGAAAGGGTATTGGAAAAGCTAAACAAAAGCCTGCTCTGAGTTCTTTTATTTTCTAAATTTGTAAAAATATTTCTGAATTAAGCTTTTTGCGCCTTAGTTTTGTGTAAAGATAAACTTAAATGAATCCTTAGATCTTAACAAAAGCTATATAAATGCGGAACTTTAAATCCAAGCTACAAATTAGAATGTGTTTATAAGAACTTCTAAAATTCGAATTTCCTTTGACTAGACTCTAGTTTTATATTTTACATTTTGGAAAGCTTTTTAAGCTCTTTTATAAAGATTATTCGGGCAAAACTAAAAAAAAAAACAAGTAAGAAGCACTAGTCGGGAGCTCCCAACTAGGGGATACCCTGAACCCTCTTCTTCCAACATCAAACGCATATATATATTCTATTTTAGAAGCTATATGTCAAGTTTGGTGACTCTAGCTCTTATTATTTACCAAAATTGCCCAAAAAACAGGAAATCGATATCGATTTTTATCGATTATCGGAAACAAACTCGATCTGCGCGGGAACTAGGAGCACCTACATCTAATTTCAAGTCTCTAGCACGAATAGGTTCTGAGATCCTTGCGTTCACGGACGGACGGGCGGACAGACAGACAGACATGGCTAGATCGACTCGGCTATTGATGCTGATCAAGAATATATATACTTTATGGGGTCGGAGATGCTTCCTTCTGCCTGTTACATACAATTGGATTTTGCACAAATACAATATACCCTTAAACCCATTTTTAATGGGTTCAGGGTATAAAAACTATATAAATGAAGAACTTTACATTTGTCTAATGTAACTAGAATAGAATCTTCTCTAATTTCTGAAAATTTATTTATTTTTTTTTAATTTTTCATAAAAATTAACCTGGCGTAATGCTTAAAGCTCAACTAAAAAAAAACCTTATAGATTCAATTAACTTTAGCTATACTCTTTGGAAAATATCTGTATTATGTTTTGCAATAATAAATGCAAGCTAAAATAAAGACTTTAACTTATTTATAACTAACATATAGAATGTACCGCAAACAGCTACAAAGAACAGAATGTCAACTGTTGCAACTCAAAAAGCAGAGAAACACAAAATGTGGCACACGAAATGTGGCACAAAACTGTAGATGACGCAACTAGAACAAAGTTGTCATTGTCAGCCATAATTCAAAGCATTCAGAACAAAACCCATAAGACGAAGCTACTCTCTAGCTAACTGTGAGATAGTTTCATGACATCTGAGATACTTTAGAGTGGAGCAGCTGGGCACTAATTGAAGATGGCCAAACTGGATCTATGCAAATGCTTTTAGTCAACGTTAGTCTCTCACACACTCTGTGCGAGAATGTGGTCACAAAATTCAATTATTGTTCACATTCAATTAGCCTCGCTCCCCTACACAGACTTGGCCAAAAGCACTTCAAATGCACGTGTTATGCAAGCATACGTTTTATTTAATTAACTTTGGGCTCATGAATTTGCACTCAATAAATGCAGATGTGCTCTGGGCAAAAGGTAACTAAAAGCATTTCATAAACTTACAAATATATTTAATGAAAACTCCTTTTAAATGGCTTAATCGAAATGCTTTCCAGCTCAAAATACAACTGGTGCAAAAGTATATATATTGCGGGGTATTACCCGGCCTTGCCCGTGCAACGTTTTGTGCTAAACATTTTAGATATAGCTTTCCCCCAAGTACGCACGCTAGGAAACATTAAATCATCCTCTCTTAATCTCCACTTCTATTTGTAAAACAACATTAAAACAAACATGTTTGTAGCTCTGTCAATATGCAAAATGAGTTAAATGTTCAGGTTGATGAAACTAGGTTCACGAGACGGCTTTAGATAATTCCTTTTGGCTTGCAGCAATGTTATAAGCCAATTTAAGCTGTTGCCAGGTGCTTTTTTGTGCTCTGGTCAGTTCGTCGTAAAGCTCTTTGAATATTCGCAAAATGTTTCAGCTGAAATGGAACTAATTACCCTTTGAATCTCATGCTGCATAAACTTAGCCAATGCGGCTCAGGCCAGCTAAACCACTCCCAAGTGGAGCAGCTGCAGCAACTGATGCGTCTCATGTGCTGCAGTATTTGTTGTTGTTCCTGCTGCTGCTGCTGCGTAAACTTTGCGCCCCAGTTTGCACTTAAAGTAAATGTAAGCTTATCTTGACTTACCTTCTTTGCTTGCAGTGCACTCCTTGCCGCATCTAACCGTGCTCAGCCTCTCCGGCTGCAGCAAACTAACCGACGATGGCGTCGAGCTGATTGCCGAGAATCTGCAAAAATTGCGCGCCCTGGACCTGTCCTGGTGTCCTCGCATAACGGACGCCTCGCTCGAGTATATCGCCTGTGATCTGAACCAACTGGAGGAATTGACATTGGATAGGTGAGTCGAACGCCCACCCCCCACACACTCACACCTGCCTGTGCACAATAACCTCTAGACAACCACCCTACCCGCCCCCTGCTCGTAATTATTCATGAGTTAAATTCAATTTCCGCACTCGCTTTCCCCCATCGAGCAACTGCACGAGTTGCCAGTTTAGGTCGCAGCAGCTACCATGCTTCCAACTTTATTATTTTTGCCATTTTTTAAGTGTTTATAACTTACGTAATAATCTTATGCCAGTTAGATATTTTAAAATGAACTTCAAGTAATCTTTAATGCAGATTGTATAACGGCTTAAACCGGACATCCCAATTGTTTTTTTTTCTAATAGAAATATTTAAACCTGGATTTAAAGAACTATTGAAAACGAATCTACTATTGATGCCTCTTTGTGTCTCACCTTTAGGTGCGTCCATATAACGGACATCGGAGTTGGTTACATTTCCACGATGCTATCGCTGACCGCCCTCTTCTTGCGCTGGTGCTCCCAGGTGCGTGATTTCGGGCTGCAACACCTGTGCTCCATGCGCAATCTGCAGGTCCTATCGCTGGCCGGCTGCCCGCTGCTGACGTCATCCGGCCTGTCCAGCCTCATCCAGTTGCGTCATCTGCAGGAGCTGGAGCTGACCAATTGTCCAGGCGCCTCGCACGAGCTCTTCGATTATTTGAAAGAGCATCTGCCACGCTGCTTGATAATCGAATAATTGATGGATTACTTTATTTGAATGTGAATGAAATGAAACTGATTTTCTTTAGATTCAGTTATACGAGTTTATTAAGATGCTATTTGTATGCTAATTTTTTTTTAGTCAGCAAGTTCCTTTTGTGCTATAAAATCTGTGAACCCTTATGGTTTTACAATTCTTTTGTGTTTCTTATGATTTTTACTGTGATTTTAAATGGAACTCTATACACATACATATATATTAAGTTGGGAGCTGTTTAAGGAGCTATACAATAAAAGAGCCCAAATGATATTTATTTACATACAGTACAATACCGAGATGACGTCTAATATTAACAATTATTTCTATTTATAATTATTATTGTAGTTTTTTAAATCAAGTTTAAATTAACCTCACTGTAATTAACCATAAAAGATTGTGCAAACAAAGAAACAATTTCTATAGATATATGTGCATACATATATGCTTAATATATATGTAAATGTAAATTAACTCTAAGCATTGCGCCTAAAAGACATACAAAGACAAAAAGGCGTATGCAGCAAAATCAAAAATAATGCAATTTATTGTTCAAAGCAACAAACTTTAAAAAAAAAAAAACAAAAATACTGAAGTGAATATTTATAGGCAAAATTGCCAATAAGCTTTATACTTAGCTCACCTTTGCAGACCCGAACACACAACAACTTTTTATCAATTGTACCATACAATAACTATGCTAACAATGAACCCGCATTCCCCTACCTCCTAACCCTCTTCAAGAAAAAAACAAACGAAAGTTTATAAAAATAACGTATTCCAGTTTTAGAATTAGACGATTTAGAGAAATGTGCACGCTAACCTAATGGAAAACAATATTCAAACTAAATCGCATACAAATGAAAATGATCAAGTGAAAGAGATTCAATTGTATATTCTGAAGATCCTGTGCCGCCCTTCCTAGTACTAAGTCGCCGACGACAAAGAGCTAAACATAAACTATAATAAATTATTAAATATATGGATAACTTATGTGAAAGAGCTGCGCTACCAAAACATTTGTTTAAATGCGGAATGTGAGGATTGTAGTTTGAAAAAAAAAAACACAAAACAAATTTAAACAATATTTAAAACAAACAACAAATTTTAAAAAACAAATATATGAAAAAATAAACTAAAGCATATTTGAAATTCTCTTGTTTCATTTGTAACAAGTTTCAACTTTTGTTTAATTATTTTCTAAATTCCTTAACAGTTAAGTTCTTATTAATATTCCTATAAAAAGAATAAGCTTAGTGACATTTGCTTTTAGAAAAGCTATCCACTCCTTTGTCATTCCTCGCAGGCGCCCTCCCCTTCGTCGTCATTATCATATTCCGTATTATCTTCGCCATCTTCACCGTCCTGCTCTTCCTCTTTGCCTTGCTGATCCCACCAGGAGAGCACGCCCAGCCCAGACTCGTTAATGGCGCCCTGAAAAAAAAAAAGAAAAAACAATAAAATATAGTACACGACTGTGCACAGTGTTTGGGATCTGGACTGACGATTATCTTGTATGGTGTCTTCACTTCCTGTGCTGCAGCAGAGGCGGCTGCTGCCGCTGCTGAGGTGCTAGCATTTTGGGACGCTTGACCCTCCGCTTTGGGTGGGCCAATGGGGGATGTTTCCTCGAATATTTCGCGGGAAACACGGAACTTGATTGGCTCGCCAACGTCCATGAAGAGATCATGTTTACCGCCATCCTCCAATGGATACTCCCAGACCCACGCCTGTTCCGCCTCATCAAAACGCGACGGATGCTGCAGAGCCGCATGTGGAATAAGTATATCATCGAAGAAGCCCAGCGTCACGTTTACTCCCTCGCGGCAACAGCTGCGTATTTTTCCGGTAATAACGGTTCCCACCATTGGCCGAAACACCACATAGCGAAACAGCACCTCTGTGTGTGAGGCGCCGTCTCCGGGCAGAATAATTGAGTCTTTCAGTGAGACAATCTCCTTGAGTGCTATGCACAAGCCAACGTTCAGCAACACCTGTCAAAGGCCCAGTTCAAGTTACTCAATAGATTAATTCCAAAATCGTTCAAATTACCTTATTTGCCAGCTTCCTGTCAATTTCGTCACGCACCGCATCCACAAGCTTCAAATTAAAGTGGTCGGGCGCAATGCGTACATTGTCTTTAAGTTCTGCCAGTACAAACATGTTTAATAACCATCTATTTTCTTAACTAACTTGGTCTTATATTGATGGGCGCAAAATATATATAAATATTATTAGCCGGTGCGATTTCTTTTATTGTAGCCTCATTGCTTCACAGCTGTTATGTTATTAACATCTACAGGTAACAGAGTCACAATGGAGCCATAACGAACAGCTGTTGTTAACTTTTATATCGATAACCGATTGCTGTCGGCGTGGAATGTTGAATGGCAAAATTATCAGCTGTTCGCGAATTACACGTGCAAGTTGATTTCACAATTATTTTTAATTAAAACGTGAATTTTAAAAGTTTAAAGCATTCAAAAAGGACGGCCTGCAGCACAAGAAGCGATAATTGTTTATGGTTGATAGACTGAGCATCTGCACATACCTGTTGCACTCACAGACAAGATGACCGATGCACACAAATATAGCGATCCGGAGGAGGATGACGAGAATCTGAAAAACGTAAGTTCAGACATAAATTTTGTAAATGCAAAGTAATATTTATAAATAAAATGCAATGCGTTGTAGTCTGAGTGGGTGGAAGACTTTAAATCGCTTACAGTGAAGCACGACATTTTTAAGAACATCAAACAGAAAGAAAAAGATATAAGCGACGACCTGTGCCAGCAAATTATTGATAACACCAATCCGGCCGAGGAAACTGATTCGGATTATGCGGATGCGTATGAAGATGACGATTACGACCAGGGCGACGACTACGATGCATACGAAGAAGCCTACAGCGGCTTTAACAAGCACAGCGCCCAACCACAGCTAACAACAGGTGGAGCCAACAGTAACAAAACCGGCACCGGCACCGGCACTTGTCCTGGCGGTACAGGAGGAGGCGGCGCTCAGCGCGTGAGCAGCTACCAGCCTAATGAGAAGGTGCTGCGGCGATACTCAGCTCGGATAAATGTCGAGAAATACGATCCAAATGCCAATATGAGCGCACAAGCGGCCAACCGATTGGTAAACTTCGATCGACGCCAGGAGACAGAACGAGTACGTGTTCGTGACAAGCACGATCGCGCCACAGCGGAGCAGGTGATGGACCCACGCACACGCATGATACTCTTCAAGCTGCTTAACCGCGGTCTTATTCAAGAGATCAACGGCTGCATATCCACCGGCAAAGAGGCAAATGTCTACCATGCGGTCTCCAAGAATGGAGCCGACGAGTATGCTATCAAAATCTACAAGACCTCAATTCTAGTGTTCAAAGATCGCGACAAGTACGTTTCGGGTGAGTTTCGCTTCCGTCATGGCTACTGCAAGCACAATCCTCGCAAGATGGTGCGCACCTGGGCAGAAAAGGAGATGCGTAACTACCTGCGAATGCGCAATGCTGGTGTGCCCGTTCCCGAACCCATTCTGCTGCGTTCGCATGTGTTGGTCATGCGCTTTTGCGGTCGCGACGGCTGGCCAGCTCCAAAGCTAAAGGACGTGGAGCTGAGTACTTCAAAGGCACGCGAGCTGTACCGCGACTGCGTGGTCATAATGTGGCGCATTTACAATCAGTGTCGGCTGGTGCACGCGGATCTCTCTGAGTTCAATATACTGTTCCAAGATGGCCAACTGGTGATTATTGACGTCAGCCAGGCGGTCGAGCACGATCATCCGCATGCGTTCGACTTTCTGCGCAAGGACTGCACCAACATATCCGAATTCTTCCGCAAAAAATCGGTGGCCACCATGACGGTCAAGGAGCTGTTTGACTTTATAACGGACCAGACCATAAACGAGCAAAATATGGAGGAATGCTTGGAGCGCATTTCAGAGCGTATTAAGGATCGAGACTTCGATGCCATTACAGCGCAAGAGAAGATCGATGAAGCTGTTTGGCAGAACACCTACATTCCCAAGCGCTTGGATGAGGTAAATGCCACAAAACAAAACATATCAGTTTTCCACATCTAATCCATTATTATACTTCAGGTGCCGCATTTTGAGCACGATGTGACAAAAGCTAAGCAGGGTGTCCAGCAGAATCTGGTTTACGCAAAAATCACGGGTCTTACGCCACAACTAGATGTTCAGAAACAGCCGGACATTTTGGATTCCGAACATAAAAGTGCGGAAAGTGAGCAGCAGACAAGTGAAAACGAGAGCGACGCATCGCAGGAGGACGATGACATGTCAAAGTTCAAAAACTCGGCACGGCCACGTGACGAATCGCCCGACAGCAAAAAGGCCCGCAAAAAGGCGGTTAAAGATGCCAAGGCAGAACAACGGAAGGTTAAAGTTAAGAAGCATGTGAAGAAACGCAAGGAAAAAATCGGCACCATCAAAAAGTAGTCGAGACATTAACAATAAGTTTTTCTAACCCCATCATCTCCAATGTAAACTAAATTCCAAATCAATTTCAGAATCCAGATTGCGCTCAAGCGCATAATATATTTATTTTACATGTAAAAAATGTAAAAAAAATATTTAAAATGTACATAAATCTCTTTGATAGCCACTTAAACTGGCTTCTCTTGTAAAAGATAATTATAATTTGTGTATAGCACCAGAGTTTTAAAAACTATTTGTTCTTTAACATGATTTATGACACAATTCTGCCTCTTACTGTCTGCAAGAGCATTATCTTCTGTATATATAGAATATGTTTGAGTAGTTAAGACGTTAAGGGAACTGATGGTTCTTATTGTTTCATTCCCATTATCATCACCATCGATTGACGTTAAAGCCTTGTTCCATTCCACAGCTTCCATGCAAACTGTCAAACAATAAGTGCTTTTCCAAGTTTGACACAAAAGAAGAAAAAGCATTTCAACTGAATCGATACAAAATTTTGAACTCCAAATATTGTATTATCAATTTACAAGATTTAAAAAAAATTTTGAAGAAGGAAATCAGTTATTGAGAATCGAAGGATGTCTTTAACTTTCGATAATGCGCTACAAAAAATTGTTATGCAACTGAAGGTTCCATTGAAAGAGCATAAGGCCTTTCTCTGTGATGCTACCTACCTCGCCGGCTGGATCAATAAGGCGCTCAAGGAGCGTAGATCAATGCTCGCCGGTAGTTTTAGTAATTTGCCGGCAACTGGTAAGGATTGCAGTGCCTGCCCAGTTTGTATTCACTTTGTTGCCAAATCATTGCAGCCACCTATATATGCGGGAATCATATAGACGTACCTGCCAACTTTAATTGTTATCTGCTGCTGGACTTGCGGTTTCCGTTCTACACAGATATAAAGGACGACGACTACATCTATTTGCACTCGGTCTTCAAGGAGCAGATAGTAGGTGATTCGTTAATTTCGTCCGTCTATCTGCAGACACATCTGCGCAACGATTTGGACGGACTCTTCAAATCACAGCCAACGGTTAACTGCAAAACGGGAACCGGACGCAGCTACCAATTATGCTATCACACAACCAAATATCCAGTCAGTGCCCACACGATTATCGCAACCCAGCTGAAGGCGAAGAACAATACGCGCATTGTATTTGAATTTTTGGTAGCCATTAAGCTGCCAATATCCAAGTATCCCAGACCAGCATGTGTCCCGGTGCCGGAGTCTATGGCGAACATGGAGCTGGGCTACTGGGTGGCGCTGCCTGTGCCGCATTTCGATGTGAACTTCAACGGGCACAGCTATTTGGGCCGCAGCCATGTCTGGCAGAAGGCGTCTCCTGGACAACGCCAGCGATGGTGTTTGGTCGTGCGATTGTTCTTTATGATGAGCAGAGGCAACGGGACACTAAACACCATCGGGATTCATGCGCTCAAGCACACGTGCGTTAATCTCTGCGAGAAATTTGGCGTGGACAAAGCTGATCGACCCCTCGGCCTTAAGATTATGGACGTAAGAAGTGCTCCTATTTAGTCTTAATGATATCCTGTAAGCAACTGATTTTAGATGATGATTACACACGGCACTCGAAAGCTAAGAGAAGTATCTAACGCTAGTAGGAACGGGCAAATTGTTAACTTGGAGATACATCCCGCCCTGCCTGCAGACTGTGCCAAAACAGATGTAATGCTCACCAAGTTGAAGGCCAAGATGACCAATAAAAATGGCTGCGACATGGAGAACTTACGGCTGCTATTCGGACTAGTAAAGCAGAGGAAATTATAAACATTTACAACTTAATTGCGATTGTTGTATAAGAACACAATTTTGCGTATTATTTGTTGCCGTCAGCTTAAAATTTGTTTTTAATTGTTATACCATAGAATTGAAAATAAAAAATACCGATTAAAAGCTTGCATATGTCTGGGAGGTTGTTGCCTGACGAGTAACTTAAAAAATAATAGATATTAGTTTACGAATTTCGCTTATTAACATTTATGAAAGACTTTTCGCACATTTTCAACTCAAGCCTAACGGAACATATCTAAAGACTATGTGGCAACGCTTGTCCATATGCAACTCTGTGTTTGGTTTGAAATTTAACGTAAATGTCAATTTGTGGATTTCAATTGTCATGATTTTCTTCGAACAAGTAGTCGCTGTGATAGAAAACGAATGTTGGGAGTCAGCACGTAGGCAGGTAAAATTTAGAATTCGTAAATATTTGTGAGCAATCAACAAATTGATAGCCTAGCCCTGCGCATTCGGTACAAAATGTCTGATTATTTTCCAGATATTAACCAAACAGCAACTGATTCCGATTCAGCAGAAACGCCACCGCAGCTATCGAAGATTGGATTACGTCGAGCCCATAGAATGTCAAAGACGAATGAATCGCAGCGTCTGCTCAGATCGCAGACGGCCGACAAGGACGACGACGAACTGTTTGTCAAGTTGCCCAAGTTCAGTAAGCGATTGCGTGGCAAGAGCTCAGCCGAAGCCCAGGAGCCGGATGCCATCGATGCCAGCACTAAGGAGCTGTTGCCGGCCAATCAAAGGCTGTACAAATACCTCAAACAGGCCAATTGCCAGCGCTGGATCTGGTGCGAGTTCATAGAGTCCTTCATCGACAAGGCGATACTGGGCAGCGCCTACGACATGAACAACTACGTCCAGAGCTGTTTTCCGCAACTGGAGACGCGTCAAATGCCACGTCGCTGCTGGCAGCTGATTCGCCGAAACATGGGCAAGGCCCGCCGTTTCTCGCCGGCATTTATTGCTGGCGAGCGCATCGAACTGGAGCGCAGTCGTCGCATTGTTCGTCAGCTGCAGCAGCGTAAGTTCGATATGGAGCAGGACGGACAATCTCTGGAGCTGATGCCCAAGGTGATACCCATGCCACTGGCCGTAGATGTCAAAGTGATCAGCCTGCTGAGCGCACCACAGTTGATGCTCTGCAAGGGACGTGTCATCGGCTACGAGCCGAGAGACAGCAGTTACCTGATTAAGTTTAACATTGCGGGTAAGCATACGGTGCTCAGCATGCCTGATTGCCATCTCCATGTGCTACAGGAGTGCAAGACCCTGCCGCTGGCCAGCATCGTCCAGGAGACTGAAGACAAGCAGCTGACCAGTTCAGAAATCTCTGTCGATGCCGACGAACCGAAGCCCCTGATGGATGCGCTCTTGCAACTGCAAAAGCTTCTGGTCCTCAAACGTAAAACCGTCCAGGACATGGCCAGCATGAACGAAGAGTTGGAAGCCAGCGGCTTACCAGCGCCCGCTCGCCGGGAGACCAAGCAGACACCGCTCCGCGAGAAGCTGCAGCGTCGCTATGCCTCCAATATGATAACGTTGCACCGGGTGAACGCTGACATTTTAGAGCCGCTGCGCGTGGCGCACCATCATCTAAATGAGTACGAGACGGATGCGCTGCATAGCAAATGCGTGCCGCGCAACAAACTGTACGAGAAGTGCCGCACCCTGGCCGAAATGGACTTGAAGGCGGCGCCATGTCAAGCCAGCGTCCAGCTAGAGCCGACGCGTGAGCTCATTCTGCGCCTGCAAACGTTGCTCTATTTGTGCGGAGAACTGGGCCACGGCAACAATGTCGAGGTTGATGCGGTCATGGATGACTTTGTGTCCAACCTGCTGGTGGGTTTGCCGCCCCAGCTGACAACCGAGTTCAGGCACGTTGTTGGCCTGCTACAGCCGCTGCGCGAACTCATCCTGGCCATGACCAAGACAGAAGCGGAGCCGTGCCAGCAGCTATTTCAATCAGATGCTGAAGGCCTTCTTTTGCCCAATGAAGAGTCTGACATCGAGATGGGCTTGTAGTATTTACTGAACAGGCAGATTGATAATTTTAATACATTTATTTGAAACGGATAAGCGCAATACATCAAGCAAACAAAAACCTTGATAACTTTATTACATTTCTCATAACTTTTACTAACATAATGTGAGCATAATCTGCATCAACTATACATATTCCTATATGTATTCTAAGGCTCTGCGGCTCTGATTAGCAGATACGTCTGGAAGTTTTCGCATCATCATCGTCATCGTCGACTAAAACACAGTTATTGATATTATCATCTAGATAGGATTCGTCGCATAGTACCACATCAATGGCATCTACGAAATTGTTTTCGAGTACGGCCAACTTCTGATGATAGGCCTGATCTTCGGCAGGATTTGCGACTGCCTGCTCGGCATGCAAGAGGGCGCGTTTAAATTCATTTTGTCGCAGCTTCTGCAAATTACCCAAACGCCTTATGCATGTTATGTACGTGTAAAGCTGCTTGGGTCCCACCTCGGCCGTATCGCAAGTTCCGTAGAAAAATACATTGTACTTTCGATCGCCTGCCTGTAGAACACGGGCCGGCCACGGGCGGTATCCTTTCAATTTGGCGAATACGAAATCGCCTTTTTTGAATTGCTCGTGCCTTATGGCTGTACGGCTCATTTGTATTTATAAATTAATTTGCAACTGAGCGCGCAAGACAAAATAACTGTTTCAGCAGTGTTGCCAGATCGAATCTGATGCACAGGGTGCACTATGATTCGACCAGTGTTGCTCGCAGAATTTCAATCGATACATGAGTGGAAAAATCCGGACGTGATTCGGGCACATTGTCTGTTTTTCAAACAAAGGGGCGGGTTGTAAATAATTACAATTCGGCAAAAGGTGCAGTAATTTCTGACATTCATTAATTAGTACTATATATTGACCTAGTGGTGAGCTTGAAATAAAAGTCCAGATACTTCACTTTTTTTTTTTTAGATATATGTAAAAATATTATTTTTCTTATGTACATGTCACTATTACCAGAAATCTTACAGAAACTATGCTTACAAACTAGACGTAAGAAGTGCACAGCTATTAATTAACATGTGCTTATACTTGGGAGTGGTATGCTAACAAGATATTTACAAACTATCTAAGCACCAACTTATCTGAGCGTTCGTTTACGTGGGGCAATCAACTGTGCACATAATACATTTAGCAGTTAGGAGTATGTACAAACTGTTAGTTATTTCTATTACTAGGTAGGCATCAGCACTACTTGTGAGTGTATAAATCCAAATCACAGCATAGACTTTTGCTATAACTATACATATATTGTAGTTTAGCAAATTCCATTGCATCCGAGCTGCTCATGTGTAACAGCGCTTGCGCAAACTGATGTACACGAGCACCCGGAAGAAGATCATCAGCATTGCCAGCAGACCGAACTGGTGCAGTATCGATACCTTGTCCACGTCCAAGAACTTGAGCAGCACTCGCGGATCGCTGAAGTGGCAGTAGATGTCATCGCAGTCCAGCTCCTCCCGCTGAAATCCGAACACGGTCAATATTAGGGCCACCACACCCACGCGTACATAGCTAAATTTCATCAATAGATTCATGCCTCCGGGGATTTGAGACGCAAAATCAAAGCCATAAATAGCGAGGCCCATGAGCGGTGCTATAATCATAGGACCCACCACGCTGCCATTCTGCGATGAAAAACAAAATATTTAATGTTAAATATGCGATTAAAATAATGATATATATAACCATGAATGGCTTGGTTGGTTAGATAAAGCCCGATCTGGCCTTTATATAGCTTTTCGGACGATATATTTTTATGCGCGCGCCTGAAAATATGCAGCAGTATTTCAGACACCCTGGACTTACTGTTATGCTGAAGGTAGCGCCAATGGCCAGGCCCATGCCCTCAGCCACCAGCGAGATCATCAGTCCGACGGCAACAAAAATGCAAAAGCGCCAGAGCTGCTCCGGCAGCCCGGACATCCAGTAGGTCATGGCCATAAAGGTGAGATTGAGGAGCACCTGCAGCGGCAGACGCGATATGCTGAGCGCCATATAGTAGGGCATAAGGGTATACCAGCGATTGAAGGTCTCCTTTTTGACCACCTTGACGTCGGCGGGATCTGGCGGAGCGATAATGGCCAGAGTGAGTGAGACAGAACTATATTGGCATTTTATTAAGCACTTACAGCTAAGTATAGGCACCATTACTTGGGTGTAGACAATCATGAGGACGGCGCCAATGCAGAACTTGAGATGGTCGAACATGCGTGCACCCTGATTGCCAAGCTGGAAGAATATCAGGCCAAAGAACAGGCCGCAAAGCGTATGATGGATCAGTTGGATGGCCAGCGCCAGACGGGCACGCATTGTGCGTAACAGCATGACGCGCATCAGCACCAGGAACTGCTGCAGTCCGGATATCTCATGGGCGCGCTCATTGTGCAGGCGCTGCGAGTAGACCTTCACATGCTCCAGCAAGGCGCCCGCAGCGCCCATCAAGGTGCCATCGGTGGATGCAGCGGTGCCGGCAAAGATCGGTGGAAGAAATTGACGCTTCGGCTGCTCCACGAACAGCGTCGTGATGGCCTGCTGTGGCTCCAGTGGAGATCCAACCAGATCCGTTTGCTTGGCCCGGTAGGTGAGCTTGCCATTGTCCGTCAGCTCGCTAAGCAGCGGCACCAATTGTCCCTCCTCGGCATCAATTACCTCAATAACTGTAAACGAAAGTAGCTAGAGATTAGCTCAAGCTTTGGCGCCCACTCTCCGAACACTTACTGTAATCCGAGGGGCTGTAGTGGCGCGGGCAATCGATTTGCGCCAGACGCAAAAAGGGTATTGTGGCCTGCGGACTACCCTGGAAGACACACTGGCCCTTGGCCAGCACATAGATGCTATCGAAATAGTTGTAGATTGTCGCCGACGGCTGATGTATGGTGCAGACAATGGTGCGACCCTCGCGCGCCATTTCTCTCAGCAGGCGTATACACTGGGCCGCTGTCACCTCGTCCAGGCCGCTGGTGGGCTCGTCGAGAAAGAAGATGTTCGGATTGTCCACAAGCTCGAGGGCAATGGAGAGACGCTTACGCTCGCCGCCGCTCAGTTTCTCGGCGGTGACATTGCGTCGATGATTCAGATTCAGATTCTTGAGTATTTCCGTGAGAATCTCCTCCTTTTTGTGGCACTGCTTCAATTTCAAATCATACGACAGATTCATTAGCTCCTCGACCGTCAGCAGCGTCTGATGGTGATCGTCCTGTGTTATATAGCAGGCATTATCGCGTTTTATTTTGATGCTGCCCTTGACGCCAGTTCTTCTGTAAACCGTTCAAAAAATTCCAATTTCAGAATCAGTCATTCACTTTGTATGCCCTTGCAGAGGGTATTATAATTTTGTCGTGAAATGTGTAACGCATAGACGGAGACATCTCCGATCCCATAAAGTATATATATATATTTGATCAGCATCAACAGCCGAGTCCATATAGACATGTCCGTCTGTCCGTCTGTCTGTTTCTATGAGAACAAGTCTCTCTGTTTCAAAGTAATCGTCATGAAACTTTGCAGAAGTCCCTCCTTCTGTTATTAGTTTTACTATGCTCCTCATATATATGCAAAATCCTATCAACATCGGACTACTATATCATATAGCTGTCATAGGAACGATCGGTCGAAAATTAAGTTGTTGTATGAAAAACTTTTTCGTTTTTCAAGATATCTTGACCAAACTCGCCATTTATAAGTTACACTATGTTCCCTACATTTATGCAAAATCTCATTTACATCGGACTACTATATCATATAGCTGCCATAGGAACGATCGGTCGAAAAGTAGGTTCTTGCAATAAAAACTTTTTTGTTTTTTAAGATATCTTAACCATACTCGGCATTAACTATTTTCACTGTGCTTCTTAGATACGGGCAAAGCACTATGAGCATTAAAACAAGGTTGCATCTGCAAGGGTATTAAATCTTCGGCGTGCCGAAGATAGCCCTTCTTTCTCGTATGATGTTGTCAGGAGTTCAGGAAACAAAACTAGGAAAATGCTGCTTTCTCAAACGAAGCTCAATGAATACGAATTTATGTACATATTTAAAAATGAATTAATTGTTTGGCCTTCAGAATTAGTTGGCCGTTATTCCCGTTTCTATTCTCAGTCTCGTGCAACGTTATTTTCATGCTCAAATAAGTGCTGAAACAATGACTAAGCAGTTAAAAAAAAAAAATTAAGAGTTACATATATTGAATTTTCGTATTATATTGTGTTTATTATATTTGCAAGACTACCTGAACCACATACTTTCCTCCTAACATTTGTTTGTTTGTTTATTTAATTTGCGTCACTTATCCAAATCGTTTTTAAATTCTATAACCGGTTTCAATTTCGATGTCGTCATGTTCTAGAAGTTCATGGGGCATCGAAATTCGTTTTGTTTGTCTTTTGATTCAAGCTTACCTAAAACCCGAAATCGCATTCAGCAAACTGCTTTTTCCGGCCCCCGAGGGCCCCATTATAGCCGATAGTTGTCCATTGCGGAAGCTGCCGCTGACGCCTTTCAAGATTTGGCGCTGTCCGCTGACGCGAACTGAAAAAAACAAATAGAAATTTTCAATCAGAATGTGAGAGGCGCCACAAAATCAGCTACATAAGTTGGAATTCACTTCAAGTCAAGTTCTCAGTTTCGACTTGTTTATTTCATTTTTTGTTTATGTATTTATTACGCCGAATTTTCGACTGTCTCGGCTCAGCTCAGCTTGTAACTTCCCGCTAAATTTAACCAGATGTTAAATTTTTATTCTGTATCAGGGCTGCAAACTGAACAAAAATTGACGATAGTTCGGTTCATGGTTCGAACCAATACCACGCTTTAAGGTTCAGTTCCTGAACTCAGCTGTGAAAACAACGCTTATAAATTTCGATAAAACCAATCAAATCAATAAAATTAGAAATTAAATATATATATATATGATTTTAAATTGAAATTGGTTTTGAATTTGAAATAAACCAAAATCTCAGTTTTTAACATAGTTCGGTTCCAGTTTAGGTTCAGCTCATCGTAACAAATTGGAACCGGTTCAATTGATAACTGACTTGTTACCCCGTCATACATTTAAAATGTACTAATCGATTGCGTTAGGCTTAATTGAAAACAATGCTTGGTTTATGTGAAACTAAATGATTATGCTACATGCCAGATTAACTTAACGATGAGACGGTTATAAAATTAAGTTGTCGCCGAAAGAGCTTGGCAGATAATCTAAGTTTTACAGCCCGAAAACAACTACTGAGTACGGGCCAAGTTAATCGGCAGGCGCTAAATAAAGAGCTTAAGGTTTTGGTCAGATACAAGATCGGGTAATTACGAGTTATCATGACTTGCTGAAATTAAACGGCGATTTGAGGCACAAACTGGTTTTCGGCCAAGTCTTTTGGGGCAGAGTATGCAGCTAATTAATTCTGTTTGATTATTTCGCCAAGTATCATTTATGGTGACAAACGGGTTGAATATAAATTGTTATAGGTTTGTGCGCACAATTTCAAAAATCATTTGCGAACTTAGCTTGAAATAATGAGTGTGTTGAAATAATGAATGAAATTTGGTTTCACAACACTGCGTTGTAAATAATAACTTAGCAACACTGAAATGCATACAAATACTCATTCATGCAAAAGTTACATTGACCAAGTTGGCTTTTGTTGTTTTGTTTCAATAACTAAAATAATAAATATTAAAACTAATACAAATTAAAACCAGGTGTTGTCATTCAATTGTGTACGATATTAGGCTGAATATTCCAATAGCTTAAATAAGAGATCTTACAAGCCAAGCGTACCATAATTGGGTTGATTGATTTCCCAAATAGGTATATCAGGTCCTTAATATAATACTTGCGCGATTTGTTTCGCAATCTCGACAAACACGTATTGTCTGTGCTTCAGTGTGTGCGTGTGCGAATGTATGTCAATACTGAATTGATCTTATCAATAGCCCTGACTGGCCCGATGTCCCAGAATGTAAGCTAGTAGGCTAAAGTCGGTTCAGCAACAACATCTGACGGTTGTACATTGATTCGATTGTAAAGCTCCTTATCAGCCCGAACAGAGTATATATACACACATACACACATCATCGAAAAACTGTCAGCGAAATAAAAGTGAAATTATCGAAGAGGAATCTCTTTATTAGGTCAACTATTTTACAGTTCAAATATCATATGCGACAAAAGAGGTTCTAGAGCTGAGCAATCCTTTTGAGAGACTTGCTTATTTATACATTTTATTGCAGCATTTTACTAATTTATATTCACTTTTGATTGAATGCAACATTTTTAGCAATTAAACTTGAACTGACTTGGCCTGAGATTAGGCGGAACTTGATTATTTCCCACGAGAAGACAAATATTTATTATTACATTTATATGTGAACCTTGCACAGCGTAGATTTGATTGACTGGCCACACAAGATGCTTAATTCAAATCATAGAAGGATTATGTTCAAAATATGGAATCTACATTCTAGGGGGACAAAACTTCCGCTAAAAGCAATACGATATATATCCAATACCCCTACGGGATGAACAGTATATATATTATAATATAAATAATAATCAAATAATGAAATTCGATTTGTTTGTGACAATGGAACATTTAAGAACATTTGGCTGGGTTGAAATTACATTTTTGACAAAGGTTGTGTTCTCAATTGTGATTCTGAAAATACAGAAAAATCAAAAAGGAATTATATTATTTTAGCCTTATGTGGGTTCATTGAAGAAATAATAAAACTATATTTGATCTATGGCAATATTTGTTTTCTTATGTTTTATAAGTACAACTTCTTCCATTTTAGCCCAGTTTTATTGTTTATACAAATACATGATTTTGTGCAACATTTTGGACGGGAAAAAGAAAGGCTGCTGTTCAGATTATCAACTGACTTATGACGATTCATTGAATGGACATTGAACAGGGTTCAGATCTATGAATAATCGACTTGATCATTTAAAATAAGTGCTTTGTCATTTATTTAAAAAGTGCGCCACTTTGGCGTGTTTATTGTTATTAGGTTTTATTTTTGTTTGTTTTGACTTTCAGCATTGAAACAGTCGCGATTTGCATGGACCTCCCATTGGGCCCGACTGGGGCCCAATTCCGAATTCCTTGCGCAACTGCGCAAACGGCAATACTCGTAAATCAAAGAAGGTCAGTGACAAAAAGCACAGCTCGTAAAACATAAGAAATCATGTGAGCCGTATTTACCAGTGGCCAAGTTTACATATCAATTAGCCCGCTGCTGACTTTTCGAATCTTGGCTTTGTTGTCGCGACGTTGATTCTGTTTGAGTTTGGTTTCGACAACAAATATGCCGCCGGATTCTGAAATCGAGTCTTGGGCAACTTTCGTGTTACATAGGCGCCAGATATATTCTAATATGTGTGCGTGTGTGTGTGTATGTGTGGGTTGCCCCAGTAAGGCTCACCTACAGAAATACGAGTGCACTTGCGAGTACCCGAACATCGAACATCGAACATCGAGTGAGTCACTCACACAAATGAAACGTGACCAATTTGTGAATTCAAATCGCAATTAACCCGTCCGGGTGGGCGGTTGGACAGCTCCATGAGTCTGAAACGTGACTACATGTCAACTGGGCACCGCTTTGGTCGCATTTTGAGTAATCCAATTAATGAAAGTGCACCAGGTAAACGTGTGTCTCCCAATTTACACTTGTTTCCGAACCGGCCGAACTGGACCGGGCCGGGCCGGATCGGATCGTATCGGCTAACTAATTCACAGAACGTTCAGTTTAAAATACCTTTAATAATGTCCAAGCCTCTGCAATTACAATAATTGTTGCAATTCAATGTAATAGAATATAGAATACGATCTAGACGTATACCTATTTGAAAAGATTATTTTCATTAATTATCGCAGGTCTTTTAAAACCCAATGTTTTAATATGGACAACATTTCAAATGCGGTTTACTGTAGAATAATAAATACGCAATAAACGAATAACATTAAATATTCATTTGTTTCATTTTTGAAGAGCTCGTGATGCAAAGTTGAGAGATGCCAGCTTAATAATTTAAACGTGGATTAGGTTTAATTGTACCGGTTCGAACATTTTATTTAAAATACAATTTGTCTCAATTAGTTTGGGATTCGTATATGGAATCGATGGAATAACCAACAATTATACAAAAGCCTATCCAACCAGGTGAAACGTGTGTCTTCTACACGAGCTTCCAATCTCAATTGCAGTCTTCTTTGATTGCCGATTTAACCCTGGGCCATATTAGATATTAACAGATAGACGATGAAAAAAGTATCTTTTATTGAACAAGAAAGTCGAATCATAATTCATATAAAACTGAAGTATTCCGATTTAAAAGGCTTTGCAGTTTTGTTGAAAGCGTTTCTTCTTGTTTCCGATAATCGATATCTTACTCCGTTTCCAAGCAATCGATAAAAATCGATATCGATATCCTGTTTTTTGGGCAATTTTGGTAAATAATGATAGCCAGAGTCACCAAACCTGACATGTAGCTTCTAAAATAGAATATATATATGCATTTGATGTTGGAAGAAGAGGGTTCCGGGTATCTCCTAGTCGGGAGCTCCCGACTAGAACCGCTTACTTGTTCTTTCTGAATTCTTCGTTTTTCTAATGATGTCTTTAAAAACAATTAGTTGATCATACAAGAACTTAATCCGATCGTTGCCATAATTATGATATAGTGCTACGATCCGACTTATATAACCTTTACAACCTTTTCATATATTTATTTATACTCGCATACGTGTCAAAGACTATGAATATTTAGGAAAGTAAAAGCTGCTTGTTAAGTTTACTTGGGCATATTAAAAGTAGAATTCTTATTAATCACAATAATGCACTTAAGATCAGCAGGTGCTTGTCTTTTCCAATCAAATTGAATTGAAAATAAATAAATAAATAAATATGGATATACTAGTAACTGGTAACACGTGTGGGCACTGACCCCAAAGAACTCGTAACTCACTTCTCAGCCCATTTGATATGTGTTAATTATAGCATCATTATAGCGACAATTACAATTATCGATGGGTAGATAATTGTTGTGCTCTTTTGAAATACAAGTTCAATGATAAATTAAATTGTTTGTTTGCGTAACTTATCTCGAGCATGCAGTTGTATGCAGTCCACATTTACATATTTAAGAAAAAAATGTCATTATAGAAATCTAGTTATACCCTTGCAGAGACGGAGAGATCTCCGATCCCATAAAGTATATATATATATATATATATTTGATCAGCATCGAGTCGATATATACATGTCCGTCTGTCCGTCTGTCTCTTTCTATGAGAACAAGTCTCTCTGTTTTAAAGTAATCGTCATAAAACTTTGCAGATGTCCCTCCTTCTGTTATTAGTTTTACTATGCTCCTCATATATATGCAAAATCCTATCAACATCGGACTACTATATCATGTAGCTGTCATAGGAACGATCGGTCGAAAATTAACTTGTATGGAAAACTTTTTGTTTTTCAAGATATCTTGACCAAACTCGCCATTTATAAGTTACACTATGTTCCCTACATTTATGCAAAATCTCATTTACATCGGACTACTATATCATATAGCTGCCATGGGAACGATCGGTCGAAAAGTAGGTTCTTGCAATGAAAACTTTTTTTTTATCAAGATATCTTAACCATACTCGGCATTAACTATTTTTCCTGTGCTTCTCAGATACGGGCAAAGCACTATAAGCATTATAAAAAGGTTGCATCTGCAAGGGTATTAGATATTCGCCGTGCCGAAGATAGCTTTTCTTTCTCGTTTTTGTATTGGTTTTATCATCTTTGTGCCCCAGAAGGCACAATACTTTTTATCGCTTCATGAGTGGGCGCTACTTTAAAGAACATTTTATTTCAATTTACTATTTCCCGACAAATGATTGGACCAAGTGACTCAGCTTTAGAGGGGACTATCAGAGTTCTCTGTAGGTTTCTCTTAAGATTAAAGATTATGAATATTTTAATATTTCATGGATTTGAATTATAACATTGCCATTAAATCAGCTCAGTTATGATATAGGAATAATTGGTCGCAAAATAAGTTATCATATTGATAATATTAATGTTTTACAATATTTTTTTCTTTTTTTTTCACCCAAGTCCAAACTACGTCCTTATGCTAAGAGTATCTAATTGCTATATAGTTTAGAATGGATGAATTTATAAAAAAAAGCGAAGACTCCGAGCAGAATACTCTATAATGTTTATTATAATCATCATAATATTCATCACAGAGGACCATGAACAGTTCATGCAAGGCATAGACAGTTGATCAAAATGTTTGCCGTAAGTCATATATCTAAAAGAGTATTTAATCTTCGGCGTGCGGAATATATCCGTTCTGTGACTACATTAATCACTTGACAAGATATCGCTTATATTGAACAGCTTAAGGAAAAAAGAAGTATAAGGAAAGAGTATTGCCTTGTTAGGGAGTTGTCGCAATTTTGTTTGCATTTCACACAAGAGAGAGTGGTAGTGAGGGAGAGAGAGGTAGATAAAGATAGAGAGTGAGAGAGGGAGAGGGAGAGAGGGGGAGTGTGCTCTATAATTGATGTATATGAGTAAGATTTTGATAAAGCACAACGGAGCACTTGAATGTTTAGCCACATAATTCGAGGAAAAGCTGAAAAACGTTGAGTAAAATGTGGAATTTCGCAGCGACTTTCAATAAGAGCGCCGCGTTAAAGGCAGGAAGGGTGGGGAAAAGGGAGCGGGAGGAGGAGGAAAATTATTCAATCAAAGTTGGTCAATTTTTTTTTGGATTTTGGTATGCGCTGTGCCACAGCAGACAGAGCAGACAACTATTGTTGTTTATGTCCATGACCATTACGATGATGCTCATAATGGTGATAATGATGATGATGATGATGATGATGATGATGATGATGATGATGATGATGATGATGATGATGATATACGCTGCTCACATCACGTTGAATAGTTAGCAACAGTAATTTTGAGTTTCCAGTTTGAGGAAGTAGCTTGTAACTGTGCACAATTTGTGGATAGATGTATGCACATGTGTGTACATGCACATACATATAAATATGTATAATTTTATTCGCTGCCAGCGTGTGTGTGCCTATCGCCTATTGTGATATTCCACATGCGCCAACATTTGGCGACATCGCGCGCCTCGCATTGCACTGCACGTTGCACATGGCGTATGCGCAACGATGATTAACTCGGACTCGAAGCTAGTGTGGAAAGGCATTCTCGGTTATCAAGCAAGAACCAATAAATACCCTACAATTAAGAAAAATCAAACCCAAAAACCTCTCGAAATAGCTCAAGCTAAACGATTCTCTAGAGAGAGAACAACATGAAAAGCAGACAGTTCCCGATAGAGTAATCCGATATTGATAACAAATCCAAAAATATTAGAAATATGTAGCTCAAGCCGAAACGATTCTCCAGAAGGAGAACAAGATAAAAAGCAGACGTTCCTACCATAAAGCTTGATAATAGAGTAGTCCGATATTGATAAGATTTGTCGCCTTTGATCAAAGCTTCGATCAGCAGAGCATGTAAATGTGGAAATACTGATCATGCCTATGGCAGCTATATGGTATATAATATATTTTACTGCAACTGATCAAGAACATATATATATATATATATATATATATATGCTACATTAAATAGGAAGACGACCCGTTCTCAGCTCACAGGGGTATTTAGTTTTGAATTTCATTTAAATTATCTCTTATGTAAATATTTTATTTACTTGACACCTCTAATTTGAATACAGGTGATCAGTATTGACGATTTAATGGATAATTACACAGCTCGTCAACCAATTAGGCAAATATGAATAGTACTCACTTATACTTATAGTTGATGGCGCTTTACAGGTTTTGTGACGTCATAGAGTCAGGGTACAAAAAAAAGTGCTCAATGCAAATTAGAAGCTGTCTCAAGAGCGATTGCAATAAATTAAAAATAAAAGTAAATGACTATCGCCAGTATGCATTTAATTATAGATAGCTTTGTGACACTGCGAAATGGCAAGTCATACTCCGAACACTTGAGGGTCTGCCAAATGGTATAAATTATTTACTCGAGCATTGCTGAGTTTCAGTTGGAATCGATTTGTGTGTCAATGGCGAAATGCGAAATGTGAAATACACTCAAGTACTCTATGAACTCTATGGTTAAACAAGTGAGACATTGGCCGACAGCCGATGAAAACTCGTTTCGACCGATGAGGATTGGGCGCAGCACCAAAAACCAAAAACTAAACACAGAAATTGTCCACTCTGTGTCCACTTGTCCATTGCCAAGAGTTGATCCAATCTCAATGCATTACATTTGACGAGCGGAAACTTAAAGTTGACAGCTGCTGAGCACAAAATAGAGCTGCTGTAAATCAAAAATCATTATCAATAGTTGTAAGAATTTACATACTAGATTTCAGATCTCTAGCTTTAAGAGACTCTAATTACGACTCTGACTATACCAAGTTACATATCTGCGCCTCTAACAGATTCTGAGTTCTATCGATTCATATACAAGGAACGGGATATATTTAATATTGCGAAGAAATTTGTTCTTGTGCTTATCGATTTGCGTAAATATATCCAAGAATCATAAATAACAGCAGTAAGAATTTACAAACTAAATTTCAGGTCTCTACCGGACGGGACGGGGAAAGACTCCCCTCTATCAATAGATAGTATATTCAAGAATCCCAAGTGATAGTTGTAAGAATTAACATACGAAGTTTCAAAACTTTAGCTCTAAAAGACTCTTAATATGATCAGGTCATATACAAGGGACGGGACATAAATAATATTGATTTCAGTTAATCGGCTTGCAAGAATATTATTTGATATTTCGTACTAATATTGCGTAGAAATTTAATCTTCTGTTTTTCGATTTGCGAAGATAGGATTACAAAGACGTTAGTTCTGTCATTCAACTTGCCTAGAATCACAATTAATAGCTGTACGAATATACGTACTAAATTTAAGATCTCGAGCTCTAATAGACCCTGAGATCGATGCGATCATATGCAAGGGACGGGAGATCTTTAAAATTACAAACAACTTTGTTCTGTCAATCGATTTGTGTATATATCTCCAAGAATCAGAATTGATAGTTGGAAGAGCTTACATACCAAATTTCGAATCTGTAGCTCTAATAGATTCTTAGATCGATTGGATCATATTCAAGGGATTGGAGATTGGTAATATTGCGATGAAATTCGATTTTCTGTCAATCGATTTGCGTCGATATGTGCAAGAGTCACAATTAATAGCTGTAAGAATAAACAAACCAAGTTTCAAATCTGTAGCTCTAACAGAATCCGAGCTCGATGGGGTCATATTTGTTAGGGTTAAGGCTAAGAATAACCAAGCAGCCGCTTTTTACACAAATGTGCAAAACATTGTGAATGTGCAATAGGTATAACATGTACATTTTGTAATTGATGGTGGGCTATAATAACAATAGACGCTTAAAAGGCATGTTTAATATGTTTCTATTTCATTTGTCCGCCAGCTCGTGTAATTATGGAACACTTAGCGCTTGGCCAGACAACAAGAAGTTGCGAAATAGCTCAAGAGAGCGAAGCAAAGGCAGCATTTAAATTACACGACCTGAAATACAATTTACGAAACTCGCAGTCTCAAATATGGAGCAACAAAATGTAAAAGTTTAACGACATAACTAATAAACAGTAAAAAGTAAAAAGTAATAGAAACAAGGCTTGTTCAAGTGCCAAAGTTAACACTGAAACAGAGTCATAAAACTTGGCCCTGACGACAAAGGCGTTTGGTAACCAGGGAGTTCTACAGATTTGATTTCATATTTATGGCATAAAACAATGTCTTCATTAATTTTAAACAAACTATTGCATGTTATGATAATAATAAGATACTAATATTAATAATAATAATAACAATAATAATAATAATAATAATAATAATAATAATAATAATAATAATAATAATAATAATAATAATAAAAATAATGATAATAATAATGATAATAATAATAATAATAATAATAATAATAATAATAATAATAATAATAATAAATAATAATAATAATAATTATAATAAAAATAATAATAAAAGTATTGAGTGAACCATGCGATTTATTTCTTTCTCAAATATAAATTTCTTAGATCCAGAGCATTTTTACAAGGTATATGAATTGTAAAAAATTGTTTGAACCAGAGACCTGCCTTTAGGTTAAGCTTGTGAAACTAATTGACATTTCACATTCCTTAAGCCAGATTTTGATTCGAATTATGCTTTGTCATGTTTGTTTTTGTCAATTTATATTCACATGTGCTGAAAATATTACATTAAATATTCCTATACAATGTATATATTTATGCGGCCATAAATTTAAGATTTATGCAAGAAACCAAACTAACAAATATGATAAACACTGTACATATATGTGGCAAAGGTATAATACTCACAAAAATTAGTGCGCTGATCGACAGTGTAAAAGACATCCTGAAATTCCACATCCTTGGAATGTTTGCTCAGCATGCTGCGCGTTTGCTCCATATCGAATTTGGGCTGTCTTGAGGTCCAGAGCGATTTACTGCTATTGATTTGGGATCGTTATTATAATGGAGCGTAGAATAGATATGTACTATATATGTGTGGTTCTTGTCGATGTCTGTCTGTCTGTCTGACTGGCTGGCTGGCTCGGTACGTGTCGCGTTTTCCGATTGTTTCATTAACCCGTCCAACCAAATGGGGCTTGTGCCTAGATGCGATTTGTTGCTGATTTTGCTTTTGCTTTATTTAATATTCTGTTTCTCTGCTCGGGTTGTTATTGTTTTTGCCGTTCTTTTCTTTTTTTTTGGTTTCGGGCTTTCGGAACTTTATGATATTTTACGTATCGCTTTGTTTTGGTTTGTGCGACGCCTGCATTGAAGCTGATTACGCGCTGTAAATAAAATATTAATCATTTCGAATGGAAGAAAAGCGTGTCAAAAAAAAAAAAGAAAAAAGTATAAAAAACGTCCGGATTCGCTTTGGATTTGTGCTTTTGCGGCCTTGACAAATCGTAATATTCTATTGTTGTCATTATTATAACGTTCCTATCAGTTGCATAAACTCGCAGTTGGCATTCCAAGAACCACGCGCCTCATTAAGCTATGTGTCCACAGCCGGAATTATGGCACACGGTTCCATCTATGCATTTTTATTGTCTATTTAGCGTTCTTCAATTATAATATCGACTCGTATAATATATATGTGCACATACTAAATCCGATATCGACAGCTCAGGCAAGGAATGTGGTAGGCAGTCAATGACCCAATCTTGATTTGAATTATATGAACAATCTTTGCAATTAAATAAATATCAAATAAATTAGCGATCAGGTTAAAATATATGTGTCTGACTACACAGATATATATATATATATATATATATATATATGTATATGTATATATATTTAAATTTGAAAATCTTAATTTTAAATGTCGCCCTACTATGCGATTCTCATGAATTTAAGGGACCCCCACAGGGTTTCATGTTTTAAAATATATATATATGTGTTCAATTAATGAATTGTAATGACACTCTAATAATTGTAAATATGTTTATACGTTTATATGTTTACAATTACATTACAGCTTACTTCACGCTTATAAGGTGTCCAAAGTTGATGCCATGTTTTCGGATAGGATCACATCCTTAAAGAACTAATTTGTCTAGCATTTATTGTAAAAAAAGCTTAAATTGTTTTACAACATATTTATAAATAAATTCATATGCTGTAATAACAACTAAAATCAACAGGAGACGAGTACAAAAATATTAATTTAATGAACACTTATGTCTATCGATCGAAGGACCAGCTTACTTCCTCTCTACTCTGCTCTACAAATTTAAAAGAAATGTATTTTTAACTAACGCCCTACTATGCGCTTCTCAAGAATCCAAGTAAGCCTTGCAGTACTACATTGGATATAATAATAATAACAGTAATCGCGCTTCCTTAAGTGCATTTTTGTGCAAATTAGACACATGTTTATATACGACTATAAGACTGTGTGTTTTATGTCAGACTTCGGCACATTCCCATAAATGCCCATAAATGACGTGACATTAATTAGCAACATCTAAAAGGCAGGTGAAGAAACTGAGTTAGCCGAAAGTGAAAACTGAAATATATGTGGAACATCTTGCGTCTGCTAATTAATATAAAAAACATATACTTACAAGAAACCGGTCAGAAGATGCCTGGCTTACGAGCAAATCCTGTCAAAGCTGCTTTGTCACAGGTCTGCGCTCAGATAAATTTATGTATCCACTCGGCAGGCAAATAGTATGCAAATAACAATAATTGAGAAAAGAAACCAGAAACCTGTTTATATTGATAATCTAGATATTATCAGATTCAAATCAAACAGCAACAAGCAGGCCGAGGGAGAATGCATTTAAGTGCCAAGCTCAGACGACAACCAAAGCCAATGCAAATCCTTAGCAACAGTCTTTAAATATAGCCAAAGGAATGATCATTAAGTGCTCTTCACGAACTCAAAGAATCTGTCGAGTCATGCTGGATGAAGGCGCAGGCCGAGGAGGGTGAAGTGGAACAGTCACAACGCATGACTCGACGAAGTGTCAGGTGAAGCCGCTGGCAACGGGCACGGGGAACGGGTAACCGGGCAGATGGATCACGATTGTTCCGCTTTCAGCAGCTCGTTTATATCGCATATCTATCAAGTTCCATCTGAACGCAGTCGGGTCGGCACAAAGCGACAATAATAAATGGATATTTACTGCTGGTAAACAGCTAACAAAAATTGTTGTGATGCTTTAATTGTATTATAACTTAGCAAATGCTTCCGACATGCGCATTATGCTAAGGAACTGTATAAAAACCGAACAGCATGCGATTCTAATGCATAAACAAGCTCCGTTGACGGTTCCTATTAACAACAATTCGACGAATATCTTAATACCCTACTAATGCATTGCTGTTGCCTTATCCATGACCCGATTAACTTTACGTATACCTGATCCGTAAGAAAGGCCGACGTCCATCTTTCTCCAATCGTCATGAATCTTTCCCTAGCTTCTACTTTGTCCCTTGTTGTCGGAATCAGATTCCTATATCATATCACAAAGTTACAATTGGAATAACAACTAAAAAATCAAGTATTTGTACATTTGCTGGTTTTATTTCTTAAGTTAAAAGTAAACTTTGGAACATATTGCGATCGCATCGGAAATGTCCAAACATTATTTTGTGCAGGGTGCTCCAGATTCCTAAATCATAGAGTCGCCATAGCAATAATACGTAAGGGTTATGCTTTAAGGTTATCTTGACCATTTTTTCATTTATAATTTAATTTATTATACCTCTCACATATCTATCACTAAGTTTTAATTGGAATTACAACTGAAAAATCAAATGTTTTTACATTTGCTGGTATTTTTTTAAGTTAAAAGTAAACTTTGGAACGTGTTGCGATTGAATCGGAAATGCTCAAACATTATTTGGAACACCCTGTACAAAGCCTGAAAACAAATGCAGAATACTTTGATATCGCTTCTGATTTGCGTCCATTTATTTGCTTTGCTTAATGTATTTGGCGTCGTCTCCGCAACGTTGGCTTAATGCAAAGCAAAGCGTCTGCGCTGCGGACTGAAACTCGTTTTTGGACTCGTGCACCTATAAAAATACCCCAGCCTTTTTTATTGGCCCATACATGGGCCATAAGCCCTGCCAACAGGTGGCTGGGGGATTGCTGGAAAATACTTTCCACACAGGGAAATGCGCGCTCCAATTAAAATCTATTGGATTCGACAATTAGCATATTCGCATGCTATATGCTAATTGCCTATGTCTGATGTTTCCCCTTTAAAATAACACTAGCCGGGTATAACCCGGCCTTGCCCGTGGCACGTATTTGATAAAATCAATGTACTCAAAAAGATTTTAAAACTGATCGAACGGTAAACAAACAACTTTCATACAAACGTTTCCCGCCAATTTCCCACTGCTGCGAGTGGAATTTCTCAAATCACTAAAACACGTATACATCATATTCTCATGTAGACCTTTGAAAATAAGTTTGATGCAAATCGAACCAAACTTAAAATTCCCCACAAAAAATGTGTGAAATGCACTTTCCACCGAAGAAGTTTCGCGTTGGCGAAAAATGTGAAACACGTTTCAAATGATTTTTTATGTAAATCCTTGGAAATGAATTTGAGAACCACAGAATCTTTGGCCGCCATTTCCACCAAGGACGCTTACATTTTTGAAAAGGTGTGAAACAAAGAACAAAGATCTTTGAAATTGAGTTTCGAGTCCGTTCGGATGGTAAACAAAAAAGTTTCATACAAATGTTTTTCGCGATTTTTCCACACTTGCGGGTGGAATATCCATCCACCTTTATCTCATGAATATCACAGTAAAAATTTCAGCTTCCTAGCTTTTACGGTGTGGAGCGTGCGTTGTCAGTCTGTCAATAAGTCAGTCAATCAGTCAGTCAGTCAATCAATCAGTCAGTCAGTCAGTCAATCAGTCAGGACAAACAGTTTTATATGTATGTAGAGATTATCGTGCCGTTAGGCAGGAGAGCGGTAGGGCCAAGGGGGAGAGGAACTTTTGACTCATGCCAAGTGTTATGTATTTAACTTTGTCATAAAGAACAAAGCGAACATTGAATCTAATAAAAAAAAATTGAAATTAAAATTACGTGCGACTGGCGGGTTGGGAAAGTTCAGTATCAGGTGAGATGTATAAAAACTATCTCTCATTTGGGTTTTTTTTTCTTATGTATATAGATTTATATTTAAATCAGTAGAAATGTAATTGCAGTTAGTCACGATTTCGAGCTGTCAGCGTATCATTATTTCAAATCGTATCGGAATATTCATGTAAACACACGTAAGTATTATATATTTATATATATTTTTTGCATCTACGCGTTTTTGTTGAAAAGCATAAATAAATAGCTAAAACTCAGTATATCAAAATGCACATAAATTAAATGACTTCAGATCGGAGATGTGAAACTGAATATGAAATTTCTCAGCTTAATTGGATTTTGATTGGCGTGATTAATCAGATTCAAAAGTGTGCAAAAATGCAAATGCAAATGCAACAAAAAGGCAACAAAGAGAGAGAGAGAGAGAGAGAGAGAGAGAGAGAGAGAGATGGGAAGCTGAAAAAATCGTGAATTATAAAATTTTATAAACAAAGCGAAATTTAATTATCAGCTGAAACATTGCACTCAGCATTTTGGATTAGAAAAATGATTTGCAACATGCCCGATTGACTTTTAATGAACTGATGAACAATGAATTCTCCATTCTCCATTATTGTGCTAATCACGTTTCGATCTGCCAGCTTACAGTCAGCTCTAGAAGTAAATGCCCTGTGAATTTGGGTATTCCATAACAACAGAAGTCAGACAATGAGCGGAACTATGGATCAGCGTGTTGTTTAAATTTACCCACACAAATTTCTGCATTCTCTCTCAGAATATTAGAGTGCCGATGATAAATCAAAGTTGTGGATAATTGATTGTTAAAGAGTATAAGTTTGCGGTTTCTATTTTGTTTCTTTGCATAGAACCTCTTGGGTAACATATTTATCATAATTAGCTCAAAAGTTGTTGCGTGATTTCCCGTGTGAAATACGTAAATATCAATTTTGTTATTTTAACAAGCAATTGGCCAAATATTATATATTTCAGCTGTTAACTGTTATATTATTAACTGCTTAACACTGGCTTTTACGGATGTAGGGTTAATGGGTTTTCAGTTTAGAGTTAATTATAAACAGCTGAAGCTCACCTCAACCTGAATTGCGTGTGCAAATAATAAAACGATCAACGATCTTTTAATGATGCAGAATAATTAAAATATAACAATGAATTACTTTTAAAATAAATGCTTAGAAAATAATTAGGACGTCTTATAACTCAAATCAGAGCATTACAAATTGTATTCCTTACAATTGATGTTTTCTTTTAGCATACTAAATACATATGTATTATCAATTGAAATTTGTGTTAAGTGCTTGCTAATCCATTTTGCCTTGGTAAATCGTATACCGTTGCATTTCAACGAATCACACATGCATACATACACACATGTACCTTTAAGAGGGCGTATAGCGAAAATGTGAAAAGGGCGCAACAGGGTGCCGTATAAGAGTATCCCTGCGCGCCCACAACAATGCATGCACACATACACGCACGCATACACGCGCATATGCATAACGAATAAACAGTAAAAGAAATATCTACAAGAAGATTGCAACAAAAGTTGCACGCACTTCTTGAGTTTATTGAGCACGTACATACATACATGCATACATATGTATGTATGTATGTATATATGGCAGATACATAGATACGCATCTACATGCCTGCATATGCCTTTATTGCACTTTGCAGATGGAATGCGGGAATGACAACAACAACAACAACAACATTGCATTTAACACGTTATAAAGCTTCCTTTGTGACCAAACCAAGAAAAAAACACACAAAAATGGCCCAGCCCAGGCCAAGTACGCACACACACCGTACACAACAAGCGCAGCAGCAAATTTACAAAAGTGCAACCGTAACTTTCGCTTTCCGCAAAACTGTTTATTTTGTACATAAATTGTGTTGTGCTTGGAATTTGGCTTTAGTTAAATTTGCTTGCCTATATTTGGATTGGGCTAAATTGATTTGCCATTTGATTTTCACTCACAATTGCCATTAATTTTGTTTATCCGCTTGTATTTGGCTTTACTACACTCGCGCTTATTATCAAAATAAAGGCGACGGCGCGAACTTTGGAAACTGCAAGTGCGGGGAGCGAACGCGTCCAAACTTAGCGGCGATACGGAAACAACTGAACGAAGAGCAGCGAAGTCGTGAATGTTCACGTTCGCGAACGTTACTTAGCTGTGTGTGTGTGTGTGTGTGTGTGTGTGTGTGTGTGTGTGTGTGTGTGTGTGTGTGTGTGTGTGTGTGTGTGTGTGTGTGTGTGTGTGTGTGTGTGTATGCGTGTGCCCGTGTGTGTGTATGTACGCGAAGGGGGCTTAACTCGCTGTTTGTTTGTTTACTTTGCTCAAAATCCGCCAATTTATTTAAATTTGCCGGTTTTTTGGTTGCCATGCATCAATTTAAGTTCTATCAACAATTACCATAGTTCATCTATCGCACCTCAGCTTTTAATCAATTTTCAGCATTTGCATATTGAGTTCTTAGCAGATATCGTTGCGCTGCATATGGCGCCAAAAACTGTTGTTTAAATTTAACGCCATCATATATCGATAACATATCAATAAGCATGACCGCAGCTGCTTGACCGTGTACAAGATGTGGCGCAGTTATCGACTATCGATTTCAATTGCGCTATTGTGACCTAGCCGGCCCTAGCCGTTATTACACTTAAATTTGATTTCCATCAAACACAAACAGCAGCCATCTATACAGTATTAAAAGTCACAGCACTCCCCACCTGTGCTGGGTAATGCAACCCATTCCAGTTTTTAACAGCTTTAAGAGCTAGTCGTCACATAACTTTATTTGTTTAAGTTCGCTTTAGCGAATCTGCTTCTCATCCGACCACCAAGTGGAGACATCCAATAGCTAATAATATGCCTAAAGTCTACATAATACGTTTCTATGTACAAAATAATATCTAAAATACAATTCTCTTTAGTTTCAGACGTCTGCTCGGGCGCGTTTCTTGACTAGGTGGCGAACAGGTGCTCTGATTTTTGTGCGGAAGGAACTGCAACTACATTTCATAGCCTATGGCTACTATGATAACTGGCAGCATTGCGCCTTTCTAGCCATGCTCGGGCCCTCCCAATGCGTCTGCAAATATATAGATGAAAGATGAATGAGTAAGGCGAAAGCTCTAAGGTTAGTTGGCAAATATTTAGGTTTATACAGAGTACAGGCTACAGAATTTAGATGGTAAATTGTAATTGTACGACAAAAGAATAATTTGAAGCAAAAAACAAAACATAAAAAGCACAATCCAAATGAGCAAGTGGCTTTATTTAATTATATTTTAAGTATATGGATCAAAGCACAAACTAAAACCACAAATTACGCTAAAATGAATAAATTAACTACAACTCGGCTGATTACTACAGATGGTGTGACTGTGATTCTTGCTGTATAAATAGAATAAAAGAAACAAAAAAAAATAAATAAATAATATAAGAGGTATTGCATTGAAAAGTTTGGGTAACAGTAAAGTGTTAATTTTAAGAACTTAACGTTATGTTTTTTTTTAGGTTTTCAAGTGAGGAAACCTTCTGAAAAATGAATTTAGTCTTAGAAAAACCTCGAATACTAACGTGCCACAAATGATTTAATGTCCGCTAATCGAGTAGATCTCTTGATTTTCAAAATTATCATTCAATTGTTTCGAATAATTAATATTTCTTTAACGTATTAATTAGCTTTATTGGTAGTTTTTAATTTGTTTTTAATTAAACTGAACGAAAAAATAAGCACATAATTTGTGTGTACTGAAAGTAGCTAGCTTTGCATTGTGTCTTTATCAACGAGAATCGCGAAAAACTCGCTCAACACAACCTGCATTAGCATCACACTCTAATTATTGGGTTGGATTATACGTGGTATTACGTAGTATATTTCATTGATTGCTTGCCTAACTTTCCTCAATTTGGCTAAAATCAACTTTGAATTCGACTTCTTTAAAATCGCCGCTGCTAAGTTGTGTTTTGTGTGTGTCCAGTTGAAGCTTGCTTACTGTGATTTTTATTTTTATTTGTGTTTAAATAATTGTATTTTCCCGATTTTAGTGTATTTTTCGTTAATTGTTATTATTGTATTTATATTTTCTTGCTGTTGCGCAAATGTGGAATGCACGAGACGAAGGCGCGCTAAAAGTGCTAAAGTGCTTAATGGAAATTAGTTTACCCATTTACTGATTATGTCCTGTAAGAGATAAGAGCAGACAGAGAGTAAGGAAATTCTTTAACGATAAGATTGTCAATTCATCAATTATTAAGAAGCAGCCGTCGCGCCGCGCACTCACCTTGACATCATTCATTTCCTCGTCGGAGGAAGAGTGCGAGAGTCCGCTATATGTCTTGAAGGTGACATTCTTCATGAACGACTTGAGCAGACTAGCGCTGAGCTGTCCAAATTTGTAAGGCACCACAGGATCATAGTCGCCGTGTGCTTGGAATATAGGCACCTCATCGCTGCTAATCTTGGCACTGGGGAACTGCTTGTGCAGTGGCAGCCAGCACGATAGAGCGACCACGCCGGCCAGTGGCTGTTCAAAGGTCAATGCCGAGTAGAGAGCCAGTGCGCCCCCCTGTGAGAAGCCGCCAAGGACAATGCGATTGGCCGGTATGCCGGCGCTCAACTCCTTGTTTATCATGCCGTGTATATTGTCTCGTGCAGAGCGTATACCTGGCTCATCCTCGGGACCGCCAATGTCCAGTGTCTTCAGATCGAACCACGAGGGCATACGAAACCCGGCATTCAGCGAAACCGGCTGTGTCGGCGCCGTTGGACAGATCACCTTCATGAATGGCGGACGCACAGCGGCCAAGGCGCTGCTCCAGCCATGTCTGCAAAGCACACAAATTTTTATATTAATATGCACAAAAATACCACACAACTGTTGTACATACCCGGTGTCGCCCAGGCCATGCATGAATATGAGCTGCGTGTCGGAAAGAGTGTTTTTAATTGATGAAACAGTTTTTTTAAACAATGTATTCTCTATCTCTGCCTCACTTACCGTCGCCGTCTGCTTGGCCGTGGCCTCAACAATGACCGGGGCTGCCATGTCGAGCGTTTAGCCTCTTTCGTTAGGTGCACAGAAAGGAAAACAAATTTCTAGGTATGTGCCAGGTACGCAGTGCTTTCTTTGCGCAGTTTTCTGAAAAAAAGCAAAACGGAAGCAACAACAAAGACTGCTTGTTAATTTCGTTATATGTACAATTTGTAATGCGTTATAGTTATGTCATTTCAAAAAGAGAAAAAAACAACCAAAGCAAAATTAGCAATATTGATTTTGCGATTGCAAGCGTAATTTTACAGCGCCGGTCGAATATCTATTATTTAAGCTAGACATATTTTTTTAGCTAGTTGCTTAAATTTATACGTTGGATGCCATGGATTTACCAAAAACTTTTAGTTATTCTATTTAATTTATATCATTTACACCAAACTGTTTCAGCTGAGCTATTAGAAATATACACAGGCCTATACGTGTGTGCATGTGTTGACTTGTATGTGCATGCGGCCTAACCACTGACAGTTCGGACTATCGATAGTTGTTTTGCAGCCCTGCGTGAGCAAATATCAATATATCTAATACATTTTCGTGACTTATATTTCCACCCCAATTTAAATGGCGCGTAAATATAAAACAGCTGTTTGATCACAGAGGCAACAAAACCTTGTTTCTTTTATTGAAATATCTTAAAAAGTCTATGTTGAAATTAATGGCGGGAACGGATTTTGCTTGGAAACAACCAATTTGTTGTGGGCATGTGAAATGTAGCCCTTAATTTTGCCATCGTATATAAGATTCGCTATGATGCAGTGCGTCTCATCCATGGACACGTCTGTTACACCGACAAACTGCAATGCCGAAAGGAAATCACTCATATCCAATTGATGTGTCTGTCTAATGGCGAAAACTTTCTTAAACAGATTACGATACACAATAAACTTGAGCTTCTCGACGAGCAAGTAAATGCCACTCCGTATGAGCACCAGCTCCTGCTCGTGCACGATCTCATCGAACTTGTTCACGTTTCCGGCCTTCAGGGCGAGCGCCAGATCGTGAAAGAGCAAAAGATCGTAGCGTTCCAGCAGCGATTTGCGTGGCAGGTAGCCGAGTAACATTTTCACCGGCACCAGATAAATGAGTATCAAGCGCTTGTTGCTCGTAAATCGATCTGGGCAGTGGGTGAAGGCATAGGACAGATCCTCAACAGCCATGCGATAGTTTGAATCGAACATGGCGCGCCGACCAACAAAATATTTGTAGGTAATTTGCTCCGGCAGCGGAAAGCTCTCCTTAAACGCACAATTGTCGATAGCGCGGATGAGAGGCTTGCACAGATGCAGTTTATTTATCCGAAAATAGACCTTGAACAGCTGATTCACCAGATTCATCATGCCCAGTCGCTTTGTCTCCTCCTCCGAGGCACGTCCGTCGGCGGCGCACACCCGAAAACAGGCCATCATACAGTCGGCCGCCTTCTCCAGTACGTGGCCAGGTGTGAAGCCACGACAATGCTTCTCGCACGCCTGTGCCAGGTAGCGCAGGTCTAGGCACACGCGGTACATGAGCGGAAGGCACCAGTTCTCATCCTTGAGTTGCTGCAGCAGCTTCACGACAGCCGAGCAACTGGCCGCCTGCTGGTTGTAGGCGTCCATGTAGTTGGGTGGCTCTTGGGCTAAATAGTAGAGCACCTTCAGATGTGCACCGACTACTTCATCCAATGGCGGCTTCAGCATGCGCTCCACCAGCTTTTCGGGCTGGGCTATGTACAAATTGTGATTCTGGACGTGTACGTCACGCAGCGACAAAAATGTGGCCAAATTGTCACCATCGTAGTCCTCGGCAGCACGTAACACACCGGAAAGATAATTATTAACGGTCCCGAACATATTTTTGTAAACCGTCCGGCCGAAGGATTAATAACAATAGGTAATCCCTAATCTTTCCAACACCTTATAAATTCGTTGAGTGTGGTTTGCGAGTTTGCTGTTGATGTTTTGTGGAGGGCCGGCAAACAAAACAGAGATGGTTGCAACTGCATAAACATATCGATAAATCACACACATAAGCGACCATCGATAACATTTATATTGATAGGCTGGCAGTGTGTACACACCCTTTTAGTGATTGATATTTGCTTAAAAATAACTGCATTTTAAAAGCCAAAAGATATAATAAATATTCACACATTATCAAGGTCAAGATAGTAAAAAACTGTTGTGTGCCGTTGCCAAAAAGTTTTCTAAATTTGAACAATTTACGTACGCACATACAGACATATGTACGCATGTTTGTAGTTTTAAAAGCTGTCAATGAAATTCGTTTGTAGCAAAATTAATAGGGCTTTCTCCTTGCGTTTACTTTCGGTAAATGGAACAAGCGCGCTTCTAAATAATAGTTCAATATAATTTGTTTCGCATACAGAAGAAAATGTCAACGCCGAATTTTCTTTTGAGCAATGGCAAAAATATGCCAATGGTCGGCCTGGGCACATGGCGCGTAAGTAAACACATCGCAACTGCTGTGAAATTATTGAATAATCACAAAACAACGCCAAAATATACTAGAAAGCAAAATGGATTTACTTGTGTATAGTTGGTTCAACGGCACTTGCCTTTGGCAGAGGAGAGCTTTTAAAGCTTTCAAGGCACTGCAAACAAAAGCTTTTTAACGGTATCATTGTTTGCTTTTAGAGCCCACCAGAAGTGATAACACAGGCGGTAAAGGATGCCATTGATATAGGATATCGGCACTTTGATTGCGCCCATATTTACGGGAATGAGGCACAAGTTGGCGCCGCAATTGCCGAGAAGCTCAAAGAGGGTGTGGTAACAAGGTAAACGTGAACGTAAATTTGTAATAGCTAGAGATTCTTGATGGCATCATCCACAGGGATCAGCTGTTCATAACAAGTAAACTATGGAATACGCACCATAGACCGGATCTGGTACGCGCCGCCTGCGAGACAAGCATCTGTAATCTGGGTGTCGACTATCTGGATCTGTATCTCATGCATTGGCCCATGGCATATAAGTCGGGCAACAATCTCTATCCCACATGTCCCGACACTGGCAAGGCGGTCTTTGAGAATATCGATTTCGTAGACACCTGGAAGGCCATGGAGCATTTGGTTGACAGTGGTCTGTGTCACGCCATCGGCGTATCCAATTTCAATGAACAGCAAATCAATCGGCTGCTGAGCGTTGCCAAGCTGAAGCCGGTCGTGCTGCAAATCGAATGTCATCCGTATCTGCGGCAGAAGACCTTGATCACGCTTTGTTACGACAATGCCATTGCCGTGACCGCGTACAGCTCATTGGGATCCGCCCACACGCCCTACGAGAAGCCCGGCGCCTATCCGCTGCTCAAGCATCCGGTTATATTGGAAATTGCTGCCAAATACGAGCGTACGCCGGCCCAGGTGCTGCTGCGCTACCAGACGCAATCGGGCATTATTGTTATACCGCGCTCTATTAGCAAGCATCACATGTACGAGAACTTCAAGAAGATTTGGGACTTTGGGCTGGACAATGATGATTTGCAGGCCATCGATGACCTTGACTGCAACGGGCGCTTCATGACAATGAAAGCTGCCTATGGACATCCTCATCATCCGTTTGAAATTGATGCTCCAAAGCAATTATAAAACCAAATGCGAAAGTGTATTTATTGGATTTAAAATTCTTCTGTGTACCTGTGTCTATGTCGAGTTAGGATATGCATAGACATCGAGTTTAACTAATCAAATTAAGCTATTAAGTTTTGTTAACAAATGTCAAACTAGCTGCGATCATGAGAGTTGCGTTTTTCAAATATATTCTGATTTTAGTACTAAAATGTTTTCATTTTTGGCTTTGTCAACATGCTCTTTTTCGTTTTAATATATATTTTCATAATGCTCTTTTTCATATGAAATTGAAAAAACATAGTAATCCCAGAAAAAAATTAAGCTCTTGTGAAAAACTACAAAAAAAATTTAAAAACAGAAACAACACGTTTATTCTGTGTAAAATGAGCGGACATTTCAGATATCCTATTCGGTTAATCCGATCCATATACCAAACCACATTTAGAGGCTATGCAAAGCCTGAAAGATTCAAATGGTAAGACTTTTATTGCCAGTTGAATGCGAGAAAGAATCTTATAAATATCGTGGCAGGTGCCAAGAGGAATTAAATTCTGTGCCTAAAGCGGTTCTTGCCGATGGAAAAGAGATTCCGATTATAGGACTCGGAACATGGAATGTAAGTTAAGATTTACAATTCTATTCTATATAGTTACATTCATTAGATATTCGTTTTATTTACTGTATATACTTTGTACAAAAAACCAAATCTAAATAACTTGCGAGAACATTTTTATATTCTGAACGAAATTTATATATATACACACACACACACACTCACGCATCATGGATAAAGTGGAGTTATGCGTATATCGCGCTCTGAAAAGTCTGCGACTCGGTTTCCTCGAGTACACACAACTTCGTCAGCGAGCCGAGGAGCATGCAAAGCTTGTAAATATTAAAACTCAAATTGAAGTTTGTTTGATATATATCGATATTTGCGGCGCTTGCGATTTGAAAGCGATCGCACAGCTGTTATCGATGCACATTTAAATGCAGACCTCGTGCTTTTCAAAAGCTTGGCAAAGCTTTCGCTTCGCAAAGGCGACCATTGGGCATATAAAAGCGGCCTACAGCTGTGTATCGGTGCTTAGTTTCTCATTCAATTTTTAAATAGTTAATTCATATTAATTTTACTATATATCCTTTACGAAAATAATTAAGCAAATAAAATCAATACTCGAAATGTCTAGCAAAGTGCCTACCGTTAAGCTAAACAGTGGCTACGATATTCCCATCATCGGCCTGGGTACCTGGAATGTAAGTACAAGGAGACGTGCATGTGAAACTAATTAAGAATGTACAGTTAAAAGTATAATGATATTAGATGCTTGCATTCGCATTACTTGAATATTCCCAAAGTCTCATTTTATCCGTCACCCACGATTTCCACTTCCTCCTTTTTCTTTTACGTCGCAATAATTGGAACAGGCCCAACAGCCCAGCTGATAGTTAGCCGGGAGAGGCGTCCGCTTTACGCCGGCTTTTATATGTATGTATGTATATGTATATGCATGTGCAAAAATGCATGTGTGTATGTGTCTGTGGGTGTGATCCGCTAGAAAAAACTGAAATGTAACAGGCGATAATGAGACCTCCAGCAATTTTCTACTACTTACAGCTGTGTGAATTCACATATTTACACAATATTGTACCAAGGTGACCTCTTGTCCGATTTAATGTCAGCGGAAAATTTTTTAATTTGTCAAGTCACCTCTTAATAAATTATGTACAATACTTGCGGGCTTATAAGCGAGTGCTCTGGCACTGATAAACTGATAAATGTGCTTATCTAGACACTTGTCTGGATTCAGATGGTCAAAAGAGGCATTAAATACAGCAGGTATATTTGTAATTTCAATCCTAAATGGAAAAATTTTATTGATACTTATCAATGACGTGTTTGTACTCTTTTCATTTCACTAAACGGAAACTGAATCTGTCGCATTTCGATATGGGAATAAACGTTACAGCTGATAAGGGACATTCAGTCGCAGATAGGCAGCTTAATTTACATTTTCTACGTCATCCAGACAATATAAAACATTCCAATTGAATCATAAATTGTGAAATTAATCTTGACATATGGTAAAAGATTAATTAGAAAATCACCCTTAACCTCAATCCCATTTTGTTTGCCACACTAATGTGAATTAATTTGTTGTTGCTTTTCAGAGCCCTCCTGGGCAAGTGGTTGAGGCGGTTAAGACAGCCATTGATGTTGGCTATCGGCACATTGATTGTGCCTACGTTTATCAGAACGAAGCTGAGGTCGGTGCTGGCATTGAGGCCAAAATCAAGGAAGGCGTTGTCAAGCGGTATTTGACCCGGAGCAATTCTTGTAGGCATACGCATTAAGTATTTTTATTTTTCTTGTAGCGAGGATTTGTTCATCACCAGCAAGTTATGGAACACATTTCATCGTCCAGCTGCTGTGAGGGCTGCTTGTGAGAATACATTGGATTTATTGAAGCTGAAATACCTAGATCTATACCTGATCCACTGGCCAATGGGTTACAGGGAGGGCTGCGATCTGTTCCCAGTTGACAAAGATGGCAAAACTCTGTTCTCGCCAGACGATTACGTAGACACCTGGAAGGCCATGGAGAAGCTCGTTGAGGACGGTCTAGTCAAGTCCATTGGCGTTTCCAACTTCAACAAGAACCAAATTGAGCGCGTACTGGAGGTTGCCAAAATACCCCCAGCCACAAATCAAATCGAATGCCATCCGTATTTAACCCAAAAGAAACTTTCCGATTATTGCAAAGCAAAGAATATTGCCATTACCGCATACAGCCCTTTGGGCAGCCCAAACCGTCCTTGGGCCAAGGAGGGTGATCCCGTGATTCTAGAGGAACAAGCCGTAAGTCATATAAGTGAAAATGCACAACAGACTGTTCAACATTTAAACTGTAAACTCTTTTAGATTAAGGACATTGCTGAATCGAAGAAAAAGACACCTGGACAGATTCTGATACGCTATCAGATCCAGCGTAATAACATTGTTATACCAAAGTCTGTGACCAAGGAACGTATCGAATCGAACTTTAAAGTCTTTGATTTCGTTTTAACACCTGAGGAAATCAAAACAATTGAAAGTTTCGAATGTAATGGACGCCTGGTGCCACTGCTCAAGTAAGTTTACCGTTTATTAATTCCCATTGAAATCGAAATGTATTATATTTATATATAAGTGGTGAATTTATAATTATTTTCTATTGATTTTTCTTTGATATTTGTATATGGATTTGATTGTAATTTTTTCTAAAATATGATTATTTAGAGATGCTGGCGCTCATAAATATTATCCATTTCACGAAGAATATTAAATTAAATCACAAGAAATCTTTCTAACCGTATGAGACATATGATATACTTATGAACACACATAGTTAAGTAAATATTTCTGGCGAAACTAACAGCGCGCAATCCGAGAAGCACAGACGTATGTTTAAATACTTTAACTATTTCTTTTACAGCCTGTTTGTTTTGTTTATTTACTCGTTTCTGTTCACCAAATAGTTGCTCGCTTTTGTACTCCAATCTCATTGAATTTGATTGGAATGCGCTTTAGTTAATCAAATTAAAGAAAATATAACTATATTCCCAATACCTTACTAACAATTATGTAAAGTACTTTCCAGCCTGTTAGAACCGTAATTAGACCAGTGTTAACATTGTTTTGATTTTATTGCTGCTTTCGACTTCAATTTATATAATTCACTTGTACTTACACTTATCTTTTTCGATATCTTATAGCCAATACGGTCATCCACACCATCCATTTGAGAAGGACGAGTTCTGATTGAAGTCTATGATGACAATATTTCCATACAATAATCCCTACACTTATGTACATGTGGTATAAATAAAATGTTGAAAGAATAAATATGAATATGGCATAATTTGGAAAATTCGAATCTGCTCAGAACTCAAATAAACAACGCTTTGTCTTGGAAACACGCTCCTCATACTCCAATTATTTTTGGTAATTGCAGCACGTTTGACGTCTTAGCCAAAGTAAAGTCTTAAGAAAGTCTGAATCTTGTTTAATCTAAGCTCGGAGCAAATATTTTGCACAGCTGTTTAGTTCCTTTTCTATAATCGTATATCGTGGGTTCAGTATCAAGTAACTAATTTTTAATTTTTTTTTCTTTTTGGTATGAAACAATAGAAGTACCAAATGTTTTGGAACAATGAGAAATTTGCTTAACTGCACAAAAGCATCTACGCAAATATCCAAATTAAAGAAATGACAATAAACCCGAATATGTCGATAAAGTATAAAAGCAGCCCAATTGTCGTTGTGGCCCACAGATAAACTTGAGCCCACGTTCTTGGTAGACAATGCGTATATTTTGTATCGCCCTCTTGGGCACCTTCGTGGCACTCGCATCCGGTGCTCACATTCATACGGAGACTGCAGTGAGCACCGAGGCGGTGAAGCCGAAGCCAGGAACTACCGGTCCTTGTTGTGAAAGTGTGAGACAAACTCTCCTAGATATTCGGAAAGATATTCGCTTGTGGCTCTTGGATAGACTCTTCGGTAAATTAATACTTATACACGATGGTGAACTTGACGGAAATCATAATCATGTGAACTGTGCAAATAATCGGATAACATCAACAGCTGACGTTTTAGGAGCTCAGCAAAATAACGTTCAATTTGATTCAATCATAAACGATATTAGAAAGACTATTCCGCATAATCACAGATCCTCGGGCCGTGTTGATAAAATAATTAAGAGTGAAACCAAAAACCAATCTAGTTCAAGCTCAAGTACAACTACGACATCGTCTGGTGGAGACTCCTCAAAATCCGGCTCAACTACAATCTCTGAGGAAAGTAGTTCATCGGTGGATCCCGTCGTAGAAGAGAGTTCCGGCGAGACTAACACTGTTGTTGAAACCGGAAACAATGTTGAATCTGCATCCTCCTCGAACACGATCACTTCTTCGGATGAATCGAGTCAGTCTAGCTCAACATCAGGTGAAGACACTGTTGTTGGCGGCGGAGACTCACAGCAATCTGGCTCAACCACGACAACGACAACCTCTGAAGAATCTAGTGCATCGGTGGATCCCGTCGTAGAAGATAGTTCCGGCGAGACGAACACTGTTGTTGAAACCGCCAACAATGTTGAATCTGGATCCTCCTCGAACACGATCACCTCTTCGGATGAATCGAGTCAGTCTAGCTCAACATCAGGTGAAGACACTGTTGTTGGAGGCGGAGACTCACAGCAATCTGGCTCAACCACGACAACCTCTGAGGAAACCATTTCATCGGTGGATCCCGTCGTAGAAGAGAGTTCCGGCGAGACTAACACTCTTGTTGAAACCGGCAACAATGTTGAATCTGGATCCTCCACGAACACTATCACATCTTCGCATGAATCAAGTCAGTCTAGTTCAACTTCAACATCAGGAGGCGACAATGTTGTTGGAGGTGGAGATTCACAGCAATTTGGTTCAACAACCACGACAACCTCTGAGGAAACCATTTCATCGGTGGATCCCGTTTTAGAAGAAAGTTCCGGCGAGACTAACACTGTTGTTGAAACCGGCAACAATGTTGAATCTGGATCCTCCTCAAACACGATCACCTCTTCGGAAGAAGCGAATCAGTCTAGTTCAACATCAACATCAGGAGGCGACACTGTAGTTGGAGGTGGAGACTCACAGCAATCTAGCTCATCCACGACAACGACAATCTCTGAGGAAAGTAGTTCATCGGTGGATCCCGTCGTAGAAGAGAGTTCCGGCGAGACTAACACTGTTGTTGAAACCGGAAACAATGTTGAATCTGCATCCTCCTCGAACACGATCACTTCTTCGGATGAATCGAGTCAGTCTAGCTCAACATCAGGTGAAGATACTGTTGTTGGAGGTGGAGACCTACAGCAATCTAGCTCAACTACGACCACGACAACCTCTGAGGAAACCATTTCATCGGTGGATCCCGTCGTAGAAGAGAGTTCCAGCCAGACTAACATTGTTGTTGAAACCGGAAACAGTATTGAATCCGGATCCTCCTCGAACACGATCACCTCTTCGAATGAATCGAGTCAGTCTAGCTCAACATCAGGTGAAGATACTGTTGTTGGAGGTGGAGACTCACAGCAATCTGGCTCAACAACCACGACAACCTCTGAGGAAACCATTTCATCGGTGGATCCCGTCGTAGAAGAGAGTTCCAGCCAGACTGACACTGTTGTTGACACCGGTAACAATGTTGAATCTGGATCCTCCGCAAACACGATCACATCTTCGGATGAATCGAGTCAGTCTAGCTCAACATCAGGTGAAGACACTGTTGTTGGAGGCGGAGACTCACAGCAATCTGGCTCAACCAAGACAACCTCTGAGGAAACCATTTCATCAGTTGATCCCGTCTTAGAAGAAAGTTCCGGCGAGACTAACACTGTTGTTGAAACCGGCGACAATGTTGAACCTGGATCCTCCTCAAACACGATCACCTCTTCGGAAGAAACGAATCAGTCTAGTTCAACATCAGGAGGCGACACTGTTGTTGGAGGTGGAGACTCACAGCAATCTAGCTCATCCACGACAACGACAACCTCTGAAGAATCTAGTGCATCGGTGGATCCCGTCGTAGAAGAGAGTTCCGGCGAGACTAACACTGTTGTTGAAACCGGCAACAATGTTGAATCTGGATCCTCCACGAACACGATCACTTCTTCGGATGAATCGAGTCAGTCTAGCTTAACATCAGGTGAAGACACTGTTGTTGGCGGCGGAGACTCACAGCAATCTGGCTCAACCACGACAACGACAACCTCTGAAGAATCTAATGCATCGGTGGATACCGTCGTAGAAGAAAGTTCCGGCGAGACTAACACTGTTGTTGAAACCGGCAACAATGTTGAATCTGGATCCTCCTTGAACACGATCACTTCTTCGGATGAATCGAGTCAGTCTAGCTCATCATCAGGTGAAGACACTGTTGTTGGCGGCGGAGACTCACAGCAATCTGGCTCAACCACGACAACGACAACCTCTGAAGAATCTAGTGCATCGGTGGATCCCGTCGTAGAAGAGAGTTCCGGCGAGACTAACATTGTTGTTGAAACCGGAAACAGTATTGAATCCGGATCCTCCTCGAACACGATCACCTCTTCGGATGAATCGAGTCAGTCTAGCTCAACATCAGGTGAAGATACTGTTGTTGGAGGTGGAGACTCACAGCAATCTGGCTCAACAACCACGACAACCTCTGAGGAAACCATTTCATTGGTGGATCCCGTCGTAGAAGAGAGTTCCAGCCAGACTGACACTGTTGTTGAAACCGGTAACAATGTTGAATCTGGATCCTCCGCAAACACGATCACATCTTCGGATGAATCGAGTCAGTCTAGCTCAACATCAGGTGAAGACACTGTTGTTGGAGGCGGAGACTCACAGCAATCTGGCTCAACCAAGACAACCTCTGAGGAAACCATTTCATCGGTGGATCCCGTCGTAGAAGAAAGTTCCGGCGAGACTAACACTGTTGTTGAAACCGGCAACAATGTTGAATCTGGATCCTCCTCAAACACGATCACCTCTTCGGAAGAAACGAATCAGTCTAGTTCAACATCAGGAGGCGACACTGTTGTTGGAGGTGGAGACTCACAGCAATCTGGCTCATCCACGACCACGACAACCTCTGAAGAATCTAGTGCATCGGTGGATCCCGTCGTAGAAGAGAGTTCCGGCGAGACTAACACTGTTGTTGAAACCGGCAACAATGTTGAATCTGGATCCTCCTCGAACACGATCACTTCTTCGGATGAATCGAGTCAGTCTAGCTCATCATCAGGTGCAGACACTGTTGTTGGCGGCGGAGACTCACAGCAATCTGGCTCAACCACGACAACGACAACCTCTGAAGAATCTAATGCATCGGTGGATACCGTCGTAGAAGAAAGTTCCGGCGAGACTAACACTGTTGTTGAAACCGGCAACAATGTTGAATCTGGATCCTCCTTGAACACGATCACTTCTTCGGATGAATCGAGTCAGTCTAGCTCATCATCAGGTGCAGACACTGTTGTTGGCGGCGGAGACTCACAGCAATCTGGCTCAACCACGACAACGACAACCTCTGAAGAATCTAGTGCATCGGTGGATCCCGTCGTAGAAGAGAGTTCCGGCGAGACTAACACTGTTGTTGAAACCGGCAACAATGTTGAATCTGGATCCTCCTCGAACACTATCACTTCTTCGGATGAATCGAGTCAGTCTAGCTCAACATCAGGTGAAGCCACTGTTGTTGGCGGCGGAGACTCACAGCAATCTGGCTCAACCACGACAACGACAACCTCTGAAGAATCTAGTGCATCGGTGGATCCCGTCGTAGAAGAAAGTTCCGGCGAGACTAACACTGTTGTTGAAACCGGCAACAATATTGAATCTGGATCCTCCTCGAAAACGATCACCTCTTCGGATGAATCAAGTCAGTCTAGTTTAACATCAACATCAGGAGGCGACACTGTTGTTGGAGGTGGAGACTCACAGCAATCTGGGTCAACCACGACCACGACAACCTCTGAAGAATCTAGTGCATCGGTGGATCCCGTCGTAGAAGAGAGTTCCGGCGAGACTTACACTGTTGTTGGAACCGGCAACAATATTGAATCCGGATCCTCCTCGAACTCGATCACCTCTTCGGATGAATCGAGTCAGTCTAGCTCAACATCAGGGGAAGACACTGTTGTTGGAGGTGGAGACTCCCAGCAATCTGGCTCAACGACCACGACAACCTCTGAGGAAACCATTTCATCGGTGGATCCCGTCGTAGAAGAGAGTTCCAGCCAAACTGACACTGTTGTTGGAACCGGCAACAATATTGAATCCGGATCCTCCTCGAACACGATCACCTCTTCGAATGAATCGAGTCAGTCTAGCTCAACATCTGGGGAAGACACTGTTGTTGGAGGTGGGGACTCCCAGCAATCTGGCTCAACGACCACGACAACCTCTGAGGAAACCATTTCATCGGTGGATCCCGTCGTAGAAGAGAGTTCCGGCGAGACTGACACTGTTGTTGAAACCGGAAACAATGTTGAATCTGGATCCTCCTCGAACACGATCACAGCTTCGGTTGAATCAAGTCAGTCTAGTTCAACTTCAACATCAGGAAGCGACACTGTTGTTGGAGGTGGAGACTCCCAGCAATCTGGCTCAACGACCACGACAACCTCTGAGGAAACCATTTCATCGGTGGATCCCGTCGTAGAAGAGAGTTCCGGCGAGACTAACACTGTTGTTGAAACCGGAAACAATGTTGAATCTGGATCCTCCTCGAACACGATCACAGCTTCGGATGAATCGAGTCAGTCTAGCTCAACATCAGGTGAAGACACTGTTGTTGGAGGTGGGGACTCCCAGCAATCTGGCTCAACGACCACGACAACCTCTGAGGAAACCATTTCATCGGTGGATCCCGTCGTAGAAGAGAGTTCCGGCGAGACTGACACTGTTGTTGAAACCGGAAACAATGTTGAATCTGGATCCTCCTCGAACACGATCACAGCTTCGGTTGAATCAAGTCAGTCTAGTTCAACTTCAACATCAGGAAGCGACACTGTTGTTGGAGGTGGAGACTCCCAGCAATCTGGCTCAACGACCACGACAACCTCTGAGGAAACCATTTCATCGGTGGATCCCGTCGTAGAAGAGAGTTCCGGCGAGACTAACACTGTTGTTGAAACCGGAAACAATGTTGAATCTGGATCCTCCTCGAACACGATCACAGCTTCGGTTGAATCAAGTCAGTCTAGTTCAACTTCAACATCAGGAAGCGACACTGTTGTTGGAGGTGGAGACTCCCAGCAATCTGGCTCAACGACCACGACAACCTCTGAGGAAACCATTTCATCGGTGGATCCCGTCGTAGAAGAGAGTTCCGGCGAGACTAACACTGTTGTTGAAACCGGAAACAATGTTGAATCTGGATCCTCCTCGAACACGATCACAGCTTCGGATGAATCGAGACAGTCTAGCTCAACATCAGGGGAAGACACTGTTGTTGGAGGTGGAGACTCACAGCAATCCGGCTCAACCACAACAACGACAACCTCTGAAGAATCTAATGCATCGGTGGATCCCGTCGTAAAAGAGAGCTCCGGCGAGACTAACACAGTTGTTGAAACCGGAAACAATGTTGAATCTGGATCCTCCTCGAACACGATCACCTCTTCGAATGAATCGAGTCAGTCTAGCTCAACATCAGGGGAAGACACTGTTGTTGGAGGTGGAGACTCCCAGCAATCTGGCTCAACGACCACGACAACCTCTGAGGAAACCATTTCATCGGTGGATCCCGTCGTAAAAGAGAATTCCGGCCAGACTAACACTTTTGTTGAAACCGGCAACAATGTTGAATCTGGATCCTCCTCAAACACGATCACCTCTTCGGAAGAAACGAATCAGTCTAGTTCAACATCAACATCAGGAAACGACACTGTTGTTGGAGGTGGAGACTCACAGCAATCTAGCTCAAGCACGACGACGACAACCTCTAAAGAATCTAGTGCATCGTTGGATCCCGTCGTAGAAGAGAGTTCCGGCGAGACTAACACTGTTGTTGAAACCGGCAACATTGTTGAATCTGGATCCTCTTCGAACTCGATCATATCTTCAGATGAATCAAGTCAGTCTAGTTCAACTTCTACATCAGGAAACGACACTGTTGTTGGAGGTGAAGACTCGCAGCAATCTGTCTCAACCACGACAACGACAACCTCTCAGGAAACCATTTCATCGGTGAATCCCGCGGTGGAAGAGAGTTCCGGCCAAACTAACACTGTTGTTGAAACCGGAAACAATGTTGATTCTGGATCCTCCTCGAACACTATCACAGCTTCGGATGAATCGAGTCAGTCTAGCTCAACATCAGGTGAAGACACTGTTGTTGGAGGTGGAGACTCACAGCAATCTGTCTCAACCACGACAACGACAACCTCTGAAGAATCTAGTTCATCGGTGGATCCCGTCGTAGCAGAGAGTTCCGGCCAGACTAATACTGTTGTTGAAACCGGCAACATTGTTGAATCTGGTTCCTCTTCGAACACGATCACATCTTCAGATGAATCAAGTCAGTCTAGTTCAACTTCAACATCAGGAAGCGACACTGTTGTTGGAGGTGGAGCCTCACAGCAATCTGGCTCAACGACCACGACAACCTCTGAGGAAACCATTTCATCGGTGGATCCCGTCGTAGAAGAGAGTTCCAGCCAGACTAACACTGTTGTTGAAACCGGCAACAATGTTGAATCTGGATCCCCCTCGAACACGATCACTTCTTCGGATGAATCGAGTCGGTCTAGTTCAACATCAGGAGGCGACACTGTTGTTGGAGGTGGAGCCTCACAGCAATCTGGCTCAACGACCACGACAACCTCTGAGGAAACCATTTCATCGGTGGATCCCGTAGAAGAGAGTTCCAGCCAGACTAACACTGTTGTTGAAACCGGTAACAATGTTGAATCTGGATCCCCCTCGAACACGATCACTTCTTCGGATGAATCGAGTCGGTCTAGTTCAACATCAGGAGGCGACACTGTTGTTGGAGGTGGAGACTCACAGCAATCTGGGTCAACCACGACCACGACAACCTCTGAAGAATCTAGTGCATCGGTGGATCCCGTCGTAGAAGAGAGTTCCGGCGAGACTAACACTGTTGTTGAAACCGGCAACAATGTTGAATCTGGATCCTCCTCGAACACGATCACTTCTTCGGATGAGTCGAGTCGGTCTAGTTCAACATCAGGAGGCGACACTGTTGTTGGAGGTGGAGACTCACAGCAATCTGGCTCAACCACGACAACGACAACCTCAGAGGAAACCATTTCATCGGTGGATCCCGTCGTAAAAGAGAATTCCAGCCAGACTAACACTGTTGTTGAAACCGGCAACAATGTTGAATCTGGATCCCCCTCGAACACGATCACTTCTTCGGATGAATCGAGTCGGTCTAGTTCAACATCAGGAGGCGACACTGTTGTTGGAGGTGGAGACTCACAGCAATCTGGCTCAACCACGACAACGACAACCTCAGAGGAAACCATTTCATCGGTGGATCCCGTCGTAGAAGAGAGTTCCAGCCAGACTAACACTGTTGTTGAAACCGGCAACAATGTTGAATCTGGATCCCCCTCGAACACGATCACTTCTTCGGATGAATCGAGTCGGTCTAGTTCAACATCAGGAGGCGACACTGTTGTTGGAGGTGGAGACTCACAGCAATCTGGCTCAACCACGACAACGACAACCTCAAAGGAAACCAGTTCATCGGTGGATCCTATCGTAGAAGAGAGTTCCGGCGAGACTGTTGATGAAACCGGAAACAATGTTGAATCTGGATCCTCCTCCAACACGATCACATCTTCGGATGAAGCAAATCAGTCTAGCTCAACGACAAATTCTGGGGCTGAAAATAATGCTGGAAACAGCGACTTTCAACAATCTGGCTCAACCACAATTACGAAAACATCTAAAAAATCAAGCTCATCAGTTGACCCTAGCACAGTGGTTAAAAACGGCAAAAGCAAGCAGACTGGAACAGCCACTAGAGTTGTTCGAGGTGGCAGCACACACCGATCTAGCTCTAAGACAGTTTCGACAACAGCTAAACAAATTCCAACCCAAGGCGGCTCGAGGACGAGAAGAGTAACTTCGAGCTCTTGGTCAAAACGGTCTAGTTCATCAACTAAGGGTACGAAGCCATCAAGCAAGATGGTTGTAAGTGTCAACTCTGGGAGTTCCACTGCAAATGCTGGCGGCCGAAAGGGCGGCAAGTCCGGAACTCGCACTACCTATACTTGGTCTAAGCGCTCCAGCTCCTCGGGCATTCCGGGTGTTATCGGAAAGGTCATCAAGAGGGGTCAAGAAAGCAGTTTATCATCTGACGTCGAAGATACCCTTGAAACAGACGATTCGCAAATAAATAATGGACAGATCGCACTAAACAAGAAATCAAAAAGATATGCCAGTAGAAGCATGAAAGTAGGCGGCGCCCGATACGGAACTGGAGCTTATCCATACTGGTGGGGATCGCAAGGAACATGGGTGGGAGCCAGTCCGACCTGGGACTATTACGGAACTGGATGGGGCAACGACGCTTGGAATGGTCAATACCTTAACTAACTTAATCAATGAGGGTAACTGTTAAATGTTTCCGTTTGTACAGCAATATATGCAAATGTTGACAGTTCTGTATTTAAAAGTTAGTAAAAAAGTAAAAAAATACATATATGCAAATCAATATATTTAGACGCATTTTATTTGAAGAGAATTCCGCTTTTTGTTTGTTTTGCATGTGTAGAATAAGGCCATGAGAAAGTCGTGGAAAAATTTATGCACACAATACAAAGCTACGTAAAGTCAGTATGGGAAAAATATTCAAATAAATACCGCGAAAACAATGTTATTTCAGCTGTTAATTAACTATTTGATAGCAAATATTCGCCAACACATTTGCCTAAATATTTGTTTAATATGTGGTGAACTTTTAAATTAAACTGTCTGCGAATTAGCTAGAGAAACTTGTACGTATTATTATCAATCAAAAAATTTTTAAGATGATTCGTGGATATTAAAATAATCAATAGAATAAAAGTGCCAATCGGTGCCATAAAACTGATAAAACATTTGTATTTATTGCTGTAAAAAAAGCTAAATTTAGCCGTAAAAAAAAAACACGTATATTGCAACACTGCCGGCCTACATGATAATTATCAGATGTTCGCCGTATGGCGCGTCAAGCTGACTTACTGAAATTGCCTAAAAAATGCCAAAAGTGCAAGAAGAAGCACAACGTGCGCATCTGACGAATTTGTGATTGGTGTAAATACAAAAATCGAACAGGCTCTCCTGGCTTTAAACTTTCTAATAACATCAAAACAATACTGCACGAGCTTGTTACAAACCATGAAATTTGTTATTTTCTAAAGTGCACTGCGCACAATTATACAACTGAGCGGAAGCGACGTATTTAATTAATCGTTTCTGCAACAGTGCAAGAGACAAAGACGATTGCTAGCAAACACTACACACAGACACGCACGCATACATGCATGCAGGCACAGGCACAGCAAACACACACACACATTGAAACGAAAATCACAAAATTTTCACCATTTACATTGGCTATGAATATGATTTCATAGTTGTGCGTTGAATAAATTACTACATCAACTGTTTTGAGAGCAGCAACCATAATAATAATAACAACAACAATAACATAATATAATATAAGTGCGTTAAAAGGGGAATCTATTGAAGCAGCGTTTGCCACACGGACAAAGAACTTGTGTAAAAAAAAAAAGTGATACCACATACACACACAAACGCAGAAGAAAATCTAATTCTGAGCTGGCCAACAACAGCTAACCAAATTTCCCATATTACACATGTGTTCAACTTTCGCATAACAACAAAAAAACAGCAGACGAATCATTTGAAGCTTCGCATTTACCAATTGCGTGGTAGTTCACAGGCGGCCACAGCATGACCATAAAGCCAGTCAGTGCACCCAGTGGCAAGCGCGTGGTCGATGCGGATGCCACCGAGGCTCACGTCTCTGGGCAGGTAGTGGTGGAGCAATCGGTTGTCAATCAGGCCCATCGCAATGTTGTTATCGATGGCCATGGCCAGGTGCGTATTAACAACCCAATTAATGCATTTGCATGACTTATCGTATAATTTCTATGCTCGCAGAGTCCACAGCGCCGTGGGGAGGTCTACGACGAGCTGGCACGCACACATCGCTGCAGTCCACACAAGAGGTGAGTGTGGATTTCCGGGTAGATAATCTATGTTTTGTCCGTCTGCCCGTGCCACAATCTAGTCTCTTGAGGTGTTTTATCTTCGCAAATGCGACTCTTTGACTGGAACGAAACGCAATACCATAAAGCTGCCAAAGGGACCTATTTTCCAGTTCATGAATTAAAACCTTGTTGGCCAAAACTAATCAAAAGCGGATCACTATATAATTAAGCTGCCACCGGATCTTTTTGTATAAAGTTTTTCCTTTTTATTTTATGCCCAATTGCATTCTATTTGTAAAATACCTTTATTGATATTTTTTTATCTTGCATTTGTCATTCGCCTGCATCTGCAACAACCCAATTATACCTTTTCTTTAACGCTACCTGCGTCTAATCAATTTTCCCGTTTTACAGCTCCCGCTCGAAACGCCGCGAACACCACGAGGGCCACGCTCATCATCACAAACGAGATCGCTTGGAGCGCGAGAAACTTAGCCTTAATCACCCGACTGTAGGCGGTGGCGGCGTTGCGGGCGTCACCAGCAAATGCAGTAGTCCACATTCAGTGGTGGCAGCTGCCGTTGCCGCCGGGCCGGGCAATAGCAGTCCAACGGCCGTGGGTCGCAAATCGCCGGAACATCTGGGCCTAGGCTGTGCCAACGTACCAAAAGCTCAGACTCAGATCACGCCGGCTGCTGCGGCGGCCAATTTGCTAAAGGCCGTCGAGGAGACATTTTCTGGCTATAATAGCGGTGATGAGCATCTGCAGCCCAAGGAGCGCACCATTTCGGTCGAGGAGTGGAAGAGGCGCGACGAGGAGTTCGCCAAGTGCATGGAGAAGCGCGGCTATGAACTGAAGCCCGTCGAGGAGGACGGCGCCTGCCTATTTCGCTCAATATCTCTGCAGATCTATGGCGATGAGGGCATGCACGATGTCATACGTCAGCACACAATGGACTATATTGTAATATCTCTATATATATATGTATTTATGCACATATTATATTTATGTTTTCCATTCATTTTCTTGTAGCATGAGAACCGCGAGTACTTTGGACAGTTTGTCACCGAGGACATCAATGGCTACATTCAACGAAAACGTGCTCGGGATGCACACGGCAATCACATCGAGATACAGGCCATATCAGAGATCTATAGTCGCACCGTCGAAGTCTACTGCTATCAGTCGAGTTAGTATTCAATATCGCTATAAGCTCTATAATCCAACAGGCGTCCGATTCCAAATGACTGTCCGATTCTTGTTTTGATTTATACTCTGTTAACAAAGTAAAATGGGTTTATAAGTTTGGGCAAAAGCCCATTGATATTGATATGACAAGAAACCATACGACTTTCACACTTCCATGTTCTTGCGATTCTCAAGGCAGAATTTTGTTTTAGGATGTATTTGTAAAGCACCCCGCAAATTTACTTTCGCAAAAATCTTTTACAATGAGAAACACAAATGTTGCAAATATCGCTTTGAAAATAATTCTAAAGCCCGTCGGACGATTTACTTTTGCTTTGACACCCTCGTGCACTCATTTGCCAATTAACTCTTGATCTCTTAGACATTCGTGCTTATATTTATTATTTTTTATACTTGCAGCTCCCATCAACATCTTCAATTCGGAGCAATCGCAGGCTGGTTATCCGCCGCTGCGTTTGTCCTATCAACGAGGCTCTCACTATAATGCGATACTGGATCCTTACAATGCCACTGTGGGCGTCGGCTTGGGTTTGGCTGGTTACAAGCCCGAGTTTCAGACCAAGGAGGCAGTGCGTCTTAGCGAGCAGCTGGAAATCGAACAGGTAATCTAAAAATAATATATATATATATATACATAAATCAAGATGACATTAATTTATATGTCTTGTCTAGACAATGTTTGAGGATAAGCTAAAGACAACAGACTGGGAAGCTACCAACGAGGCCATCGAGGAGCAAATCGCCCGCGAGTCCTATTTACAATGGTGCCGTGATAATATGCAGCGTTCGCGCAGCAGCAACACAGCCGCCACTTCGGCAACATCTTCAACAGTGACATCTGCCGAGGCGCTTACCGACTCTGACGCTTCGCCCTCCAAATACTCAAGCGATGGAGGAGGAGGAGGCGTTTGTGGCAGCAGTAACAACAACGGCAACAGCAACACAGCCGCCACCTTGAGCGGCTCCAGCGTCGGTGATGGCCCAGCCTCTGGCTTTGCACTATCGCCCAAGAGCCTAGGCCAGTTTACACACAAGCTACCGCCCGAAGTGAACGAACTGGGCGGCTATGAGAGCGATGCCACCGATATGAGCAGCACCAGCTCGGTGGGCCACTGTGGAGGCAATGCTTCGCCCAATACAGCGGCCGCCACACAGCGCTCCAAAAAATTGCCCAAATCCCAGCGTCGCAGCAACAACCTGCGCAGCAGCAAGAAACGTCGGCACGAAGTCCGTGAGGCAGGCAACAGGTATGTGCCAAGCTATCCATTAGTGCCACCAACTCGCAACTCTCACATATGCTTTGCCCGATTGTAGTCTGGAAGCACACGAAACGCCGCAGCGCAAGAGTCCCAAGCGCGATGCTGCGCCCTCAGCTTCACGTGAGCGCACGCCGGAAGTGGAACAGCAGCCATGCACCTCCAAACAGTCGTCCCAGTCGCCACCCAAACGTGTCGATGCTCAGTCGCCGCCAAAGCAGAGCTACTCCAGCTTCTATCAGGAGCTGCTCGAGGCCTCCTACGCCAACGATGGTTAGTGCTGTTTTAAATTTTGTTGTTGTTTAATACAAGAAACTTGCAATTTACATTTTTCCTTCGATCTTTGCCAGGCGTCAATGAGAACGAGATGCTGCAGCGAGCCATACAGATGTCTACACGCGATTATATGGATGATCAGAAGCGAAAATATTTGTGCGGCCCATAGATAGCCAAAGCCAAGGCGTCGGTCTTTTGTACAGTGATTAAATTTATCTTTCGCAACGAAAACGAAACACAACAAATCAACCAAAAAATACAAAAAAAAAAAAAAAAAAAAAAAAAAAAAAAAAAAATACAACAAAACAGAATGAAAGAAACACAAAACACACATTTTGTACGACTAATAATAAAAATTGATAAGTGAGGAAGTGCCCGCAGGACTCGAATGTCCTGCACGCCCTGCAGATATTGGCACACACCATACAACACACATGAATACGTCATACATATATATCTATCTATATATATATATATACACAAAAACAGAATGTTTTGAAATAAGAAACTGTTCGTTAGCATTAAACACAGGCAGATTTGAATTAGTTCAAGCACAATATTTTTGTATAAGGCTTGACTCGAATCTCTGCTAATCTCTGCGATGTAGTTGTTACCTTCCCCCTCCCCCTACCCAACCCATCCCATCCATATTTTCCGCACACTCCCTTTAACATACAATTAATTAACCTAACGTATATTTTGTAATATCTTAAGTTAAGCTGTACGCAGGCAAAGATCATTCAGTATATACATAGAAAGAACAGCACGAACATATGATATAAAAAAAAATTACATATACATACACAAATTGCATACAATTACATGAATAATTAATTATAATTACAAATTAAATAATTATACTGATTACTTGATTGAATATAATAAATGGTGCATAATAAATATAAATGAGTGCAATTAATGTAAAGTAAACAAACTTGAAGAAATTTGAAGATTTCAATGAAGATTAAAATAATATCCATATATTTTGAGATATCTATAATAACTTGTTTGTGATTATATCAGTATACATTTTCTTGATTCTGTTGGATAAGTAATTTTAAGATCCGATTACAATTTACATTATACATTTGGATACATTTGATGCTCTACACAGTTGGACATGTCGAATGAGTAGAATATAGATTATGCCCATTTAAGTTTGATTTTCTGTGTGCTAGAGCATGAACCAACCGAGACAAAAAAGACCGAAAAAGAGAAACAGCGCCTGTTCGTCGTTTAAATTCAGCGCGGATGCAAGGGACTCAATCGGAATGCTGCCATAGCCGAGAGATGTGTGAAATCCAAAGAGGAAGCCCAGATAGATAGAACTCGATTCTTGACTAGGTTCGATCCGTTGTGCAGCAGGACGTGGCGCCATCGTATCACGTGGATCTTGCACTGCACAATTCCGACCATATAACGGTATTACTTTACTCTTATCCAGTGGCACCCTGCAAACGGGGCAGAGCCTGCGCTGGCTACATGGCGTCAGCGTCCACAAGTGCAGGCAGGCCCAACAAAACAGATGGCCACAAGTACAAATGACCGCATTCTTGGCTGTGCCCAAGCAGATATTGCAATCATATAGGGATTTATCAGTTTGGTCCGTATTCTTTGTGGTTTCCATAAATAATACGTATAATTTAGTTGTTTTCCTTGGTCAGGTATTATGGATCCGAGAACGTGTTAAATATTTTGATTTTAAGATTTATCTACCTTTGAACTTTTGCTTTAAGTATCAGCTATTGGTTATATGAGCGCTATCAAATTTCTAGATTTTCCAGTTCTTATTTGTCTGACAATTTCCACAACGATATCTCGAAAGTTTATACCAAAAATAAAATGAATACACCAATCCCCAGAGCTCCTTGAAGATATAAGGGAATATACATACATATACACTCCCATAAAAGTTAGGGAAGCTCGCAAGAAGAAGAGCCAGCAGCACAAATAGGGCTGCCCACTGAAGCTGTGTCTCAGTTGCAGCTGAGAAGCGGCCTGGTGTGGGTGTTGGCCGTGTGCTGTTATGTCTTTGTGTGTATGTGTGTGTTCGTATGCGAAGACTGATCATGAATGTAAGCTCGCAAGAAGAAGAGAAGTTAGGGAGCATAAAAAAGGTCTCCGAAGCTGCGATTCGCTTGCTACAAAAAGGCAGCAGATGGTGTGTGTAGATGTGTGCGTGTATTCGTCTTAAAATGTACATGAAGATCTGGCAAGGCTCAGCAGCATATATAAGGCTGCCTACAGAAGTTGGGCCTCAGTTGCAGCTGAGAAGCGGCCCGGTGTGGCTGCAGGCTGTGTGCTGTTATATCTTTGTGTGTATGTGTGTGTTTGTATGCGAATACTGATCATGAATGTAAGCTTCGCAAGAAGAAGAGAAGAGATGGAGCATAAAAAGGTCTCCGAAGCTGCGATTCGCTTGCTGCTAAAAGGCAGCAGATGGTGTGTGTAGGTGTGTGTCTGTGCGTGTATTCTTCTAAAAATATACATGAAAATCTGGCAAGGCTCAGCAGCATAAATAAGGCTGCCCACAGAAGTTGGGCCTCAGTTGCAGCTGTGAAGCGGCCCGGCATTTACGTGTGGAGTTGTGTATTGTGTGTGTGTGTGTGTGTGTTCGTATAAAAATTCGAAAAACGTGTAAGCTTGAAGCAAGAAGAAGAGAAGTGCATAATAAGGGCTCCAATTGAAGCTGCAATTTCATTGCTGCTCCGAGGCGTGGTATAATAGTGTGTATGTGTTTGTGCGTGTGTACATAAACACGAAGACCAGGCTCAGTAGTATAAATAGTGTCAGTTGCAGCTGTGATGCTGCCCGGCATATACATATGTGTGGTATATGTGCATGTGTGTATATGTGTATGTGTGTGAGAGTAAAAATATAAATGGCGGATCTCTCGCAAGCGATGAGTACAAACTTGAGCCTCCTTTTTTACCCAGTTGAGTGGATTTTGGGCAATCGGTGAGTCACTTTTAAAATAACAATATATCAACATTAGATTATGTACAAAAAAAAAAAAACTTTGACTTTTCCAAGCAGTTGGGGAGACGAGTATTAAACAACTGTTAAACACGTCTTTAATTAATGTTAACAAAGGGTGAAAGCTCAACAAAAACGAGAAAGAAAAGCTATCTTCGGCACGCCGAACATTTAAATACCCTTCAGACCCAACCTTTTCATAATGCTCTTAGGGCTTTGCCCGTATCTAAGGAGCACATGGAAAATAGCTAATGCCGAAGTTTAAGATATCTTGAAAAACAAAGTTTTCCATACAACGCCTTAGTTTTCGACCGATCTTTCCTATGGCAGCTATATGATATAGTGGTCCGATGTTGATAGGATTTTGCGTATATATGAGGAGCATAGTAAAACTAATAGATCCGTAATTTGGTCAAGATATCTTGATAAACAAAAATGTTGTTCATACAAGAACCTACTTTTCGACCAATCGTTCCTATTGTAGCTATACGATATAGTGGTTCAATCCAGCTGGTTCTGACATATGTGCTGCGTGCAACAGGAGGAGGGACTTCTTCATGACGAAAGCTTTAAAATTGAGACTAGTTCGCATAGAATCAGACAGACGGACAGATGGACATGGCTATATCGACTCGGCTGTTGATGCTGATCAAGAATATATATATAGTTTTTGGGGTCGGAGATGTCTCCTTCTATGCGTTACACATTTCACGACAAAATTATAATAACCTCTGCAAGGGTATAAAAAGTTCTGATAACGGTTTCTACCTATTTTCCATAGCGGAAAGCGTTCCGGGAGCAGTTTTCCAGCAAATAAATAAAATTGTCATGTGTATTTACAAATGTTTTAATCGGTGTTATCAAAAGTCGAAGGACATTCATAGTATCTAGTTCGTACTTATAGCTAAATTGCGCTTTGCTTCGTTATTAAGAGTACATAAATAGTTTGCTGCATTTACACCGTGTTCTTTTATCGTTCAAATATTTACATAGATTCGCTTTTATACAAAAATACATTTTACTAAAATACGCGATTCGCATATAAAATTATAATCTCTTTGCACATTTGTCTTAAAAGTACGGCCGACAGAATATCACATCGGCTCTCTGGGACCTAAACTTGAAATTTGTTTTATATAAAATAAAATTGACGATTTGAAAACATATTAAATAAATAATTATACCCTGTAATTTGGACACATATCCGAACCTATAAAGTATATAAATTAGTATCGACTATATCGCTTTTTTTTCCCATTATTACACAGTTTTTATGTTTAAACTTAATTGGTAAAAGTTGTATAATAATAATAAGAACAGTTGGACTTATTTAAACAAGAATACGAACAATCCTTCACAATAGGATTGATTACTTTAAGCTATAAGATTATTTACAATAATCGCTCGTCAAAAACAAAATATTTACATTTTTATTGTGTTTTTCAAAGTTCAAATTATTGCATAGAATATGGGAACTGTTTCATTTTTGAATTTTTGCAAATTTTGCGAGTGATCGCTATAAATTTATTTTATATAAAAATCAAGTTAATCAAGCTTCTGGTCCCAGGTTTATAGCACTTTTTTAGGACTAGCTTTGTGTCGCGTTGTTTCCTAGGAATAATTGTACAGTATTGAAGGATGCCCCCCAGTAATGGGAGGTCCTTCAAATTTAAGCTATTGTATTGTTGAATATCGTCAACGATATTCTTGTATCCGATTTGCGTGAGTCAATTAAATTGCGTGGACCGAGAGAGAGTTTTGTTTTGTTTGGACTTGAATTTGTTGCGAGCAGCAGCAACAGTTGTTGCTGTCGCGTATCGCGTGTTGCATGTTGCATGTTCAAATGTGTCATGTGGTTTTTGAATTTTGATTTAACTGACTTTACAAAAATCATTTGGCTAATTTAGCATTTGCTGTTGTTGCTGCTGCCCAGTTGCTTGTTGCTGTTGTTGTTGGCTGACGACAATGTGATGCTGCTGCTGCTGCTGTTGCTGCTGCTGCTGCTGTTGCTGCTGCTGCTGTTGCTGCTGTAGTTGCAGCTGCTGCTGATTGGCATGCTGCACGGCCGCAGTTGTGGCAGCCGTCACCACCGGCTGCAACATGCTGGTGCCGTTCTCGCGCCGCACATGACTATTTAGCTCGGCCTTGACGCGCCTGGCTATGTGGGAGCGTGTGTGCTTGCGCAGGTGATCCTTGCGATAGAAGCCCTTGCCGCATTCCTGGCACTGATGTCGCTTCTCGCCCGAATGGATGACAAAATGCAGGCTCAGCTGCTCCTTGCGCTTAAAGGCCTTCAAACAGACCGTGCAGATGTATGGCCGTTCCGGATTGTGCGACTGTTTGTGCCTCGTCAGATGATCCTTGCGCTTGAGCGATGCCTGACATATATCGCATACATAGCGCCGCTCCAGATTGTGCCCCACCAGATGCACCTCGAGCAACTCCGGTTCCGGATAGGCCACATGACATTCGGGGCACATGTAGAGCGGACTGCCGTCCAGTGCAGTGCCCATGCGAATCTCGCCAGGACGCAGCTTTGGCTTGCGCTCTTTCGAGCGCTTTTTGCGTTTCTTCTTCTTGGCACCGCTTACGGCTGTTGACGTGTTCGCCACCGCGACCTGCGACTGCAACTGCAGTGTTTCCTGCTGCTGCTGTTGTTGCTGCTGCTGCTGCTGCTGTTGCTGATGCAGCGGCTGCTGCTCCTGCTGAGGTATGCTTATGGTTGTCGTTGTGCCAATCGTGTTGATGCCAATGGCTGCGCCTGGCCCCGTCTGCACCTGCAGCACCTGTTCGAGAGTCCATCATTAGTTACTTTACAATTGAAATGAACACAATTTCCTAAGCTAAGCAATACCACATTCTGCTGGTTCTCCTTTTTGATGGTCTCCGCGGAGTACTTGAGAAAGTGGTGCAGCGACAGCGGCAACGTGTTGGCTGGAAGATGCGAGAGGTAGTCGGCGACAGTGGTGCCGGGCGTGATCGTTTGCCAGGAGGTATTCTGTAGCACTGCGAAAACAAAGACTTACTGGGTCAAGTAGCTCAGCTCGGACTTTTGGACTCACCTTGTTGCTGCAATATGGCATTGCATAGATCCTGTGTCAGCTCCTGCGGCGCCACCACCTGTTGCTGTTGCAGCTGCTGCTGTTGTTGTTGTTGTTGCTGCTGTCCGGAGCTGCTCGCCTGCAGGGCATCCACCGCGCTCGTCGTGGCACTGGTTGCATAGACAGTCGCATATTGCGGCTGCTGTTGCTGTTGTTGTTGTTGTTGCTGTTGCTGCTGTTGCTGCAGATGCCCATTATATTTATCGCCCTGCAGCGCCTCCTCCTGCCCGCTGCGAAACTTGCTGCCGGCGGCGGCGCTGCTGCTGGGCTGGCTGAAGTGCGTCATAGATACGCCCGACGTCACCTGCTGCTGTTGTTGCTGTTGCTGTTGCTGTTGCTGGTGTTGTTGTTGTTGTTGTTGTTGGTAGCGATTGGCGCTGCCACCGGGCTCCTGTTGTTGCTGTTGATTGTTGTTATTGGCCGCAGTCACATCGGCATCGGCAACGGCCACAGCGGCAGTTACCGTCGACACCAACGGCGACGTCGTCGTCGTGAACTGTGGAAGGCCCGGAAAGGTGTTTCCAAAGGGTGTGAAATTCATTGTGCGTTAATTGCGTGCTTCCGGTTATTTATTTCCGGCGAACCAGAAATTGAATTTTACGTTCGAAGCGACTGCAATTAAATATTTTTTATTTTTGGTTATCAATAAGCTATATTTTATTTATTTATTAAGAATGCAAGCTAGACTTGGGTTTTGAAAATCGCAAAGAAAGGCGTTATTTTTGAGAGAACAAGCTTTGGGTAGGAGAACGATTAGGAGAAATAGAAAGAGTGAGAAAGTGCTCTCTAAATTATAAACCAAAAACATCAAAGCTTTAATTTAAAACGTGTAAACAGTAGTTAATTAAACTAATGTTAATTAGTTTAAATAAAAAAAAAAAAAAAAATCTGAGTATTGTCCATTTTGGAAAAACTGCAAACATGAGGTAATATCAAACAAAACATAGAATTCAAGGTAAGGCCGATTCTGGCTTTCTGAATGAAAAGTGAAATCGCAGCCGCTGTTATTATTTTGACTGCTCAAACGCGCGAACACACCCACAATCGCCCAAACACACACGCACACATAGGTTTTATACATGTACGCACATACATGTGTATGCCGGCAGCGTGAGAAGCAACAAAAAGAGCGGCAAACCTGCGCGCAATACGAGTAAAGGCACGAGCACAAACTACCGTTAGCTGCACAGTGGTTAGTAGCCAATTTAGACGATGGTTCACTTTGGCATTGAAACGCAATTGGCAAAGTTCTGGCAATAGTTTAGTTTTCATCACTAGATGATAAACTGGGTACGAGTTGGGATTTTGTAATTAAATACAAGGAATGCACATATATATCGAACTGTACAAAATTGTTTGCCATTTTTCGTTATTTTATATTTTACTACCTTGCCCAGATAAAATAAGATTTAAAATTCATGGAAAGAGCAATTTTGTCGTTCTTTAGTTAGAGAAAATATCATTTTAGTGAATAATACGAAATAAAAAGTTTCATAAGGACTCGCAAAATGAAAAATGATTTAATTTGTTGCTCATACATTTTTCACTTATATGCACACCAAATCGTACCACTGTGCGGCTGTCCGCTTTTAGTATGTCGGCACATTGTGTTTAGGTTAGGGTTGTCCCGATAGCGTAAATGTGTATGTATGTGTGTGTTAGTGCGCGTGATTTTATAACAATTTTTTCATAAATTTGGAAAATATTGCAAAAAAAAAAAAGAAGTGAAGAATCCGTTAATCTACGCTTTTTTAGCAGACATTCTTAAAAAAGCTGCGATGTGTCGTGTAAAAGGCAAGTTATAGCCATATCGATTTTCACTAAGTACGCAAATTAGTGTCGCGTTTAATTGAGAGAGGAACGAAAGCACACATACACACACACACACACACACACACACACACGCACTTGTATTTAAATTGCAGCTCACTTTTGGGCAGCTGTCGCGGACTATAAGAATCGAGGACATCTTAATTACATATGGAAAAATAGACTTTCACTAGCCAGCCCTAACGGAGTTATGTTTTATTCTTATTTATATATACATATTGATATATTTTTTTTTTGTTTTCGGCAAACGCGTGACACAATAAAAGTCAAAGGCAGGAAGCAGCCGTAAGGCGGCCGTCGCGTCGTTCACAAAGACAAGCCAATGTTGACGCTGACGTTAACGTTGGCGCTGTCGTCGCAGTCGATCGGCTGTACAGCAATGTGAAAGTGCACTCTATTTGCAATATTTTGCCTTACGTTTTTTCGTATCGTTATTGCTACGTGTTTGCTGTTTTCACACAAATACACACACACACACACACACACACGCATACCTACAAAGAGACGATTCCCGCGCGACGGCATTTGTAAAGGAAAAGCAAAAAATGTTTGTATTGTTGCCCTGGCTAGGCCGGGCACAAGGAGTGTAGGTGCCCAACTACCGTTGCGTTGTTTGCGCTGACGTCGCTGCGACTGCGACTGCTGCAGTGCGAGTGCGAGTGCGAGTGCGCCTCCTCCACATGCAACCCACACACCAGCGTCGAATCGGTGCGTCTATGTCTGTGTCGGCTGCCGCATTCACGACAGGGCCACCTAACGGCGTGTGGCACAAGTTTGCTACTGACCCGCCGCCAACTCGTTTGTACGTACACTCCAACTTCTCCTGCGCGCTGTTCACGTGCATGAGTGTGTGTGTGTATGTGTGTTGAACACGAGACAAAAGCGTGAGCTTCGTGCCGGCATTGTAATACTTGTGTGTGTGTGCTAGCAGCGAGAGCGAATGGGACAGACTGAGCAAGGGAGAGAGTGAGCGCGTGTTTGATGCTCTCTTTAAGTAGTTGTCAAATAAACGGTTATTGTTTGATTCTTGCTCTGCTCGCAGAATAAACAAGACATTTTCTATCTGAGTTAGTTTTTTTTACACTAAATATCTTGGACAATTTTGTAATGCATGCGCACATGTTGACACAGGTACGTACATGCGAAAACTGCGAAAAAACTGCTATGAATATGCTATTAATACATACAGTATGTCAATAAAGTGTTTTACTAACGAAAAAAAAACACATATTTAAGGTTTATTTGAAAATAAATGTATTTAAAAATGAGCATTTTTTTCATTTCTAATTTATTTCGATTATTTCGAACTTAACGGCACAATAATTATTTAAATCACATTATCCAAAGATTTTACAGAATTAAAAAACTTAAAGCATTCAAATTTTATACTGTCAATAAATTGTTTTTACAGCTACGGTAAATTGTTTTGCAGTTCTCTTTTTGTCGATCCCGTTAGATTTAGGACTAGGGGTTTTGGATTCCCTTGTGTGTTCCATTTGAAATTTATAACGTTTGGTTTGCATTTTTTGAAAAATAAACCTCTAGGAAAAATAATGAATCGAAATAAGTTAGAAACAAAAAAAAAAAACGCACTCTTAGGTACATTCATTTTCAACTAAACCAAAAAAATGAGTTTCTCTTTTGCTAGTAAAAACACTTTATTGACATACTGTACGAAAGTTCTTTCTTTTATTTAAGTACATTAATATAAGCTTAACTGCGGAACTAATTGCTAATTGGTTCATTGATAAAAGAACCTGTTTATGAACCGAACCTGAAACGAAAACTTCGAACCACTTCTCTCTTATTTACAGCACATACAAGTTATTGAACTTATTTGTAAACTTATTTCCATCCCAATCTGACGTTAGGTTCTACTATCAATTCGCTGCAGCTTTAACCAATTGAGAATTGCATGGCTCGTTTGTGAAGTTAATTAGTTCCATCAAGCTGTAGCTATGCATATGCATTGCATAGATCTGTTCTGATCTCTCAGCTGTCGTCATGTGCTGTCGGTTTTTACTTCTATTTGCCATTTTCTGTGGCTATCCGAATCTTGGGCTCGGCTCTCCGCAAAATGGTGACTAGTTCGGGTGCTTTTGGGGGCCGCTCAGATACTCTTATTGGCAAACCTTATCTACAGACCAAGGCTACCAAGTTGTGGGCGTGCCGTGTGCCGTCAACGAGGAGGTCAGCTGCATGATCGTCAAGTGTCCGGCGGGTCGCTTTTGTCCGGCGGAGAATTACTGCTACAATCCGCGGTGCGTCTGTCGGCGCGGCTATCGCAGGAGCCATGGCGTCTGTGTCCAGAAACATGTGACGCTCAATCTCGATGCTGAGGCCCTGAACTCAGCCCTGCTCCAAACGCGATTTCGATAATGTCATAATTTGTTCCATTTTTCTGTTTCTTAGCAAATTACATTTTAAACTGATCATAATAATGTTGCGACAAGACATCCGGGTAATATATATAAATTTGGAAGATTTGGGGAAATTCTTAAAACTATTCGAAGTACTTCCATACCCAATAAGGTGCTATATAGTGGCTGTCAGTAAAAAAAGGAATGTTATAAAATCAATATTTCAAAAAGCTTTGAAAATGATTTTAAACCTGATCGAACGGTAAACAAACCGCCAATTTAACACTGTTGCGAGTGGAATTTCCCAAATCGTTGAAACACGTATCTATTATGTTCTTATGTGGAGCTCTGAAAATAAGTTTGAAAAAAACTGAAAAAAACTGCACCAAAAAATCATTGAATCGCATTTCTACCGAAAAAGTTTGGATTTTGCGAAAAATGTGAAACACGTCTCAAATGATTTTTCATATAGATGCTTGAAAATGAATTTGAGCGCGAAACGTCTATGACATCCATTTTCACCAAGGTGGAATCAATTTTTGGAAAAGTGGGAAATGCCTCTGAAATGAATTTGAGCAAAGAACTTTGAAATTGAGTTTGAGGCCAATCGGATGGTAAACAAAGAAGTTTCATGCAAACGATTTTCGCAATTTTTGGAATTTCCCGAAACGCCGTCAGTCAGTCAATTTCTCAGTCAGGACAAACAGTTTTTACTCAGCTTGAATTTAATTCTAACGCTTATTTTAACTCTCAATTACCAAAACAGCTCCAACGAGCTGTATAATTAAGATATTTTCAGAAATGGGATTGTTTTCAAATGGATCTTTATATGGTCGCTCGGAAGTTTGATTGCCCGGAAATAGGAAATGAAAAGAATAAATAGAAAATGTCTCTAGTTCGGTTCTCGATTCGAAATAGCACCCTCTCTTGAGGTTCAATGCGTAAAACGAGCCCAAATTTGCACTCAATTCGCTTTTATTAGATATGCTTAAAGTTCAAGTAAAACAACTTAATTCTTAATTAAAAAATAAAAATCCCTAAATATTTTCATAAACAAGATGCGGGCTAAATTAAATTTCTGTCCAAAAATGGCATCTATCAACGTGAACAAAGTTGTGCATAGTTTGGAACGAAATCTGCCTCAAAAGTTCGCTTTTGTTCGGGTTTCGACAACTAGTTTGGTTTAACTATAGTAAAACCCTGAACCCCTTTTATTCCAACACCAAATAAATTAATAAAAAAGGTTTCCTTGGCAGGGCTCGAACTCGCGACAGACCGCCCCACTTGTTATGCCTCTACTCAGCAGCCACACCAACAACTAAGTACTTTTGATAAAAAAGGAACTAAAATAACATTGCAAAAAAAAGATGAAATTACCATGCTATTCGAATGCGAAGCAGACGCGCATGAATGTGTGTGTGTACATGTATACAGAATCGATAAAAATCGATATCGATATCCTGTTTTTTGGGCAATTTTGGTAAATAATAAGAGCTAGAGTCACCAAACTTGACATATAGCTTCTAAAATAGAATATATATATATGCATTTGATGTTGGAAGAAGAGGGTTCAGGGTATCGCCTAATCGGGAGCTCCCGACTAGAACCTCTTACTTGTTTTTTTTTTACATTTTTTTACAACATAAATTGATAAGATATAAAATCAGAACTGGGTCAAGCGAACAGTATAAGGCCATGTACCGTTAATCAACCACCAAAATGTGCCTCCAACTGGCCGTCAGATTGTGTGTGCGTGTGTGTGTGCGTGTGTGTGGCAAGAGCCGGAGTCAGTGAGTCCACATGAGGGCACACAAGCAAATGCCGCCGGATTTGCATGCATACGAGAATGCAGGCAAAGTCAAGCGCAGACAAGGATGAGGCAGCAGGAACCGGAGCAGAAGGAGCAGGTGGAGATCTGCCAGCCGCATCGGTGGCAACAACAAAGATGCTGCCGCTGCTGACACTGAAATAACCGCACGCAAGGCCAATCCACGAAACCAGGCCACGCACACAATTCAACCCGGAGGGCGACGCGACAACAAACTCCGTCCGTGCCACAAAGCAGTGCACCCATGCTGCTGCACCCGGCTGCTGCTCCTGCTCCTGCTCCTGCATCTAGCGCCGTGCACCATGCAAAGCTGAGGTAAATGCACTTGGAATGTGGACTGTGCCGGGTGACGGGTGACGGGATTGGCGGGCCGGGGCTCATTGCAATCGGCATTGAGCAAGAACCAAGAGCGCACGACTTTGACTCATCCGGAGAGCGCGACAGCAGCTCTGCGCCTGCAGAGCAGGGAATGGGTGTGCAGCTCTCCTGTACACATCTGTGTATGTATATATATGTGTGTGTTTGTGTGTGTGTGTGGGGTGCATTGCGTCATCATCGTTGACGTCGTCGTCGTCGTCGTGAGCAGCGAACAAGTCGCGCCCGCGCCGCGGGCTGGTCAACGGGCTCCGGAACTGGTTGCGAATGTGTTACAAGTGGATGACGCTTGCAGCAAGTGTTGTCAAGAGGTGGTGGGCGTGGCATAGGGAGTGGTTCGGGTGCAGCTGCCGTCATTTGGCAAAAGACGAACGAGGCTGAGTGCAAGTCTCGCGCCCATTGCGTTGTTTATCCCGGCTCTGTGTGCTCCGGTGTATGGCAATGGCATGAAAGTGAAACTCCGCCAAACGGCCAGGCGCAGGCTGAAACCGAAATGCCAATGGTCGTTGCCGTTGCCGTTGCCGTATCCGTGGCCGTGGCCGTGGTCGTGGCCATGACCCGTGTCTGCGATATGCACTCCGGCACACTTAAACACGCACACACACACACATACACAGACTCGCATCGGGAGGTTTGTTAGCAACCAGAAACGCGGTCATCGGTCTGGCAATCGGGGCGTATGCGTAATGTGCGTAATATGCACACGCATTGCAATCACAATAATAATAATATATGATTTATAATGAGTACTATGAGTAGTATGAGTATGAGTATGAGTACTATGAGTACTATGAGTATTATGAGTACTATGAGTACTATGAGTATTATGAGTATTATGAGTATTATGAGTACTATGAGTATTATGAGTATTATGAGTACTATGAGTATTATGAGTATGAGTACTATAAGTATGAGTACTATGAGTATTCAATGTGTCTTTCAAAATCATTAAATTTCATCTGTTTATACTCTTATTGATAATTGGCATACGAATATTTTGTTATTGGTTTGATTTTTGTAAATAATTTAATATATAGCATTTTTGGGCTAGTTGCTAGTGAATTAGTTTATAATTAAGTGATGATAAATGAAAGTGATTTTGCAAAAAGAAACCGAATCAAACTCAATGCAATTTATTGTTCAATTCCCTTGAAATAGTTTGTTATAAAAGTTAAGTCTAAATTATGACGTTAATGCACACACGAATCGTGACGCAAAGTTTCCTTATTAATTAAATTCCTCTTTAGTTTACACAAATTTCTATCTTTGAGAACATGAAAACACAGATTAAATGCCTTTAAGTAATCTTTGAAGAGATAACGTGAACAAATTCAAATTCCTTAAAATTAAAATAAAAAATTGGTTTCTTTTAAACTTATCCTGAAAATAACCGTAAAATCTTTTGACTAAAATTCTTAATCAACTTCTTGAAAGTTGCAAGTAATTGAATTTTTACAAAATAAATAAATCTTTATAGATCAATCAGTCAATCGAACAATCAATCAAACCGTCATTCAATCAGATCAATCAATCAAAATCTCAGAAATAAAACAACTTACTTTGAAACCTTTGTAAAAAACTAACATATTTTAGGGACATTCTCTGCTGTAAAATAAATTTCCGATTGTGATATCTGTTTTCTTAATTATAATATTATGGTTTATAACGGTATATTTCAGGAACAGCTCTTGAAAAAGTTAGAAAACTACGAGAAAACCGATTTTTACTTTTGAGACAGTTCTTATATTTAATTTCGAACTAACGAATGTTACATTTAACTTGATTTGCTTAAAGACGACTCACTTGTTTCTAAAGACGCGAGGATTGGGATTAATTGAACAGGCCTATAAAAATCGCTGGATAGCTTCCAAGTTCCATTAGATATAGTTGACTGAACTGTTGACTCGGTCGCCGAAATTGAAATTCGCCGCGTGAAAGTAAAAACGCGACGTATGGCCGGATGCAACACAAATGCTCACACACAAATGCCGCGAAATGACGTAGTGTCGATGCTGACGTTATAACGTAAACTGATTTAAAGTGCGTCCGTTAATGGCTAGCAATGCAAACTGAACCGGCCGGCGTATTGGGCCGATGACCGGGCGCCTAAAATTGTGTAGAGTTTGGAGTTACGATGACGAGGCTGCAAACGTTGATGGGTTAGAGGGGGGCAACGGTATAGGCACGGGGCGGATGCTATACACGGCTGCCTAAATGTGTTTTGTCAAAAGGCAAGCCAAACTCTTTAAAATGCCCGTTGCCAACGCACACACATACAAACACACACACACACACACACACGCACGCACACACACACACATACGCAGACAGACGCCGTTGACAGTCACGCACTATGCTGGCAAGTGCGAATCCTCGCTTTCGCTTTTGTGTTTGTTGTCTCGTTTACTTAGGGCTCGGCTCACTTCGTATCGGCTACTCTCTTCGCAACGAGCTCGCTCTTTGCCTTTCTCTCTCTGTCTCTCTCTCTCTCTCTCTGTCGCTCTTCCTTGCCGTTACACAGACTCTCAGTTTTGCAAGTCTGTTTTGTGCATTGGCTGGCTTGCTGGCAATTTTCAGCGCGCGCCGGCAATGCAACAGTTTTTTTCACAATAGATTTTTATTAGCTATTTGTTGTGTGTATCCAAATCTAGCAAACTCATTAAAGCAACTGCATGTGCGTGTGTGTGTGTGTGAAATTGAATGTTTTCTCTATGTGTGTGTGTGTGTGTGTGTGTGTGTGTGTTAGGGATGAGCGTGTTCAAACATGGCGCCAACATTTAGCAAATGCATAGAGTAGTGAGGGGCAGGGGAGCTGCACGGATTTTATGGTGCTTATGTAAGTACTTTTATAGTACATAGTACATACATATATAAA